GCTTTCACATTCTACAAGATTTAAATTCTACCTTCTGAAAGAGCCTTTTGTTAGTGACCATCCATACTCAAAGCCTGGCTGGTGCCTTTCTTCTGAGATTATTTTCCATTTGGGCTCTATATGTGTATCTACTATATATAATATCCAATGTGGTGGTGTTTTACAATTGAAAGTAAACTCCTTGAGGGCAGGGAAGTATAGTTTTGCCTTTCCATGTATCCCCAGACTTCAGCACAGTGACTGACACATGATAAATGTTGAATAAATGCTTCTTGACTCTCAATGTAACATCACATTAGATTCACATTCCACGATTTGTTCAGCCAATTGCTGATCAATAGGCATCTACTTTTTTTCCCACCAGGAAAACGTGGCTGTGTGTAGGAAATATTTCTCTTGTCTATAATGTACTTGTAAGATCTGTGCCCAGTGATGGGATCAGTCATTCAAAGGGCATAGTCATTTTAATGGCCTTGCTTACATAATTCCAAAGGTTTTCTTTGTAACTATTAGACATTTTTGGCTCCTCCAATATCATATGAAGAGTTAGCCTGTCATTCCACAGCATTCCCAATATGCCTGTTCCCATATATCATCATTTTTTACCAGTTTTTATTTGGATGAAATAAAAACCCAATGGGTTTGATTGACATTTCCCTTTCTATTCATGATTTAGGGTATTTTTTCATAGGGCTGTTGATGATCTTTAATTCTTCTTTAGAAAACCACTGGGTAATAATGTTATTGGATAATTGCCTACTGAAGGTGAGAAGGATGATATTAAAGACTAAATTTTTATCAATTTGTATTAATTCTTAAGATGTCTGCAACAATGAATTTTTCCACCTGAAAGTTTTTCCTCTTGTAAGCTGTATTGATTTTGTTCATACAAAGTTTGTGGATGTAATCCAGTTAAATTATCTGTTTTTTTCTTTTATATTGGACTCTAACCCTTGTTTGGTTATGAATCTCCCCCAAAAATCACATAATCACATATATCACAATCAAATAAAGGAACTTCCTTCTCTTTTACACAAAGTTTGAATATTCCTTTCTTATGTTAAGGCTAGATATCCCTCCAGAGCTTATCCTACTAAATTGTGTGTGATGCTGTTCAAAACCTGCTTAATGCCTAATTGCTTTGTAGTTTTTCTTTCAGTTGTCTAGAACAAGGAATCCTACTCCCATGCATTTGGGTTCTTAGGTTGCTTGAAGAATGGACTTCTGGGTTCCCTTGCTTCTATGGTATTGGTTATACATCCTGTTGCCCTCATCTACCTTGCTTTTTTCTTTTCTCTTTATTTTTTACCAATGACCAAAGAGTTTTGATAAGGACTGCTTTAGGATATACTTTGTCATGAAATGGTGAGCCCTATTTTTTTTCAAATTTCCCCCATGAAAATCCTCAATAATCTTTTAACTGTTGAATCTTCTGGCTTTTCTCAGCCATATTTGTGTTCACTTGCCTCTCTATCACTTTTGACACAGTTCCCTTCCACATACAAAATCAATCCCTTCCCCCTACTTTCTTCCTGCTGCCCCTCCTACCCAGTTGTACACTTCTCATTTCTCTATGTTGGATGACCTTCCATCTCCCACTCAATGTGATTGGGTGCCCTCTAGCCTTCTGCCTTCTGTAATCTTCTCTCTCCAACTTCTTTACAGCTGACTTCAGCAGACCCTTTCAGTCAAGGATTATCTCTCTACACAAGGCTCCCTAATCTGTAGATCCAAGCACAATCTTTCTCTTGAGTTCCAGACATGGTCAATCAACATGTATATCATACTCAACACATCTGCATTTTCTGTTCACAAACGCTGTCTTTTTTTCAACTTTAAATTTAAATTGTTTAATATAAATTTAAACTTTGTTTCTTCTATTGAGGACACAGCCTTCTATCCAATCATCTAGCTGTCTTCCTTCAAAATCATCTTCCACTCTTCACTGTACCTAGCTTATACCTATATATCATCATATCACTTATCAAATCTTGTCACTTCTACTCCTGTAACATCTCTGGCATTTATTCCTTTCTCTCTATTGATAGAAACACTACTTTATACAGTTTGGAAGGGTCTTATCACTTTGTACCTGAACTATTAAAAAAAGATTCCTTTTAGAAATTGAGATTTTATTGATAGCTTTTTTAATTGCCAAAGTTAGTACTAGTGTCCTACCTCCCAGAGATCTCTATACACATCAGAAGAAATAATATTTTACAACAAAACAGATATGAAAAAGAGAAGCACAATTAGCAAAACGAGTGAATGCACTGAAAAATAATAGACAATATTGCACCTCCTGGTACCTTCTACCTTGCAAAGGACTGAGCAGAGTGAGTCTTTTCTCGCACCCCTTTTTAAAGTATTCTTGCTCTTGAAAGTTTGTAAAATTATCAGCATTGAGCTCAAGAGATTAAAGAACAATTCCTGCAGATGTGTTGGTAGGATTTCCTTTCTATGCTTGGTAATTGGTACTGTTAGACATAGGCTCCTGTGCTTTTCTTAAGATGTTTACCTTCTATAATGTTGGTAACCTGAAAGCTTTTGACCTGATAATTCTTTCTTGCTTGGACTGAATTTTTTGGAACCTGATTCAAAGTCCATATTGCATTTTTATAGGTTCATCCTTGGAAGGAGTGTTGAGGAAAGGATTATCAGTCACAGAAATCTTTCCTGCCTGAAAAATAACATCATCAGAATATAAGTTCAGAGTAGTCTTAGCTCATAAATTTGGCTTTGAATTTTTTTAAAGTATATTTTATTTTGCTCTTTCTAAAAATCTTTTTCCCCCTACAGGAAGTAAATTATGTTACAGAAATGGAAAACTTGAATAAGAAGGAAAACACAACCAAAAAAGAAAAGATTATTTATCGTTCTTCCATCCTGGCACCGCTCTGGAAAATCGGGTACACACATATACTACTAGTGGGATTTCAGAAGAATAATACTTACTTAGGGGGGAAAGTGGCATATACTGGAGAAGTTACAAAAGTAACAGCGCACCCCACCTATGTCACTGTCAGCCTTTTATTGGTAATATACCAAATGGAGTGCATATGCAGAACAGGCAAAAAGTGAGGTTATGTTCAAATGACATTTCTGATAATATTCTTTTGTTATTCCAAAACCTTGAGATGCTTGAAAGGTCTGACCAGTTGAGACTATCGGAAAAAATTCTAGATTATTATAGAAGAATACCAGGAATTGAAATACATCAGTATAAGTAACAGAAAAATTCTGGCAATATCTTTGTGAATTCTTATGAGCATAGAAAATAAAACCAGAATAAAGGAGTATACATTAATTTAGGAACCACCCACGAGGAAACATTCATGTTTAGAATTACAAGAGAAATGTCATACAGATGGTGATGAATGGACAAGATGTTAAAGGGGACACACAAGTGATTGACTGACAAGTTGACAATATTATATAGATGTCAATGAATGGAATCCAGTATACCTAATTCACTCAACTGTATCAATGACAGAATTGGGATAGAAGCCAAGACTCTTGATACCCAAGTCAGCATTTTGCCCACTTAAAACACACACAATGTTGATTTTGTTTTTCTAGAGAAAGTGATTTCAAAAAACAAGAACTGGCTAAAACAGCAATTTTAGAAGAACAAACGCAAACGTTCCTCAAGGACATTAAAGAGATATGTGCCATGGTGAGAGAGTCCAATTAGTGGATACTTTTCCCAATTAAATTCCACAAGGATTTATTCAGGGCCTGTTTGTGTGCACTCTCCCAAAAATTGTGTGATAGAGTGAGGAAGAGATAGAAAGGAAGTAAAAGCAATGTTCCCAACTTGGAGTTGCTAGCAGTTTGGGTGGGCATCCCAACACATAAAAACCAATGTTTTTGCAAAGAGAAAATGTCAAACCCGTGTCCCTATGAATTCTGAATTAGGGGGAAATTTTTTAAAATTATTGTAATAGTATTCTTTTCAAGTAGCAATAGTAATATATAAATTCACTATTGTTTCCAAAAGAACTATTACTTAAAACAAATCATTCTTCCTGGTTTCAACAATTTGAAACACTAGTAAACTTTGTGAAACTCATCACATCAATTATATTGTGGGAAACGGGTTTATAAAGTTTATCTATATGTTATGTATGTATAAGGTAGTAATTCTGAGATTCATACATACTTTCACCATTGAACAGTTCTCTGTAATACAAACATACATGCATGAATATACACATACATACATACATAAATACTTCATGAACAAACAGTTCAGTAAAACCTGCAAACATAACTGAATCTGAAGGAATATGTATTTTGGATTTGGAGCCTTCTGTTTTCTAGGCTTAGGCTATGATTTTTCAATACAATTAATAAGAGAATGGCAAACTTTCACTGTTGTTCTCAAGTTTATTAATATTAGTTATACCAAATATTTTCCTTAACTTGTTCTATATCAGTTCATAAATGTTTACCTACACTGGTCTGAATTCTTTGAATTTGTTTTTTCCTACTGCGGTAAAATCATGCAAAGTTAGCAATGATGACTTCTGTTTCAAATCTAAAGACTTTTTCTCAGTTCTTATCTTTCTTGCCCTCTCTGCAAACTTTGACACCATTGATGATAATCTTATTCTCCTGGATAAGCTTTCCTCTCTAAGTTTTTGTGACACCTTCTCTCTACTCACAGGAACACTACTTACCCTGCAGGATTCATACTGCTTTCACCTCTTGCCTGGACTACTGAAATAACACTTTTTAAAATTAAAAAATTTAATAACAGCTTTTGTTTTTTAAGATCTCCACAATTTCTTCTAGTGTCCCTCCTCTCTTTCAGAGACCCCTACACACATTACAAGAAATATTTTAAACAATAAAAGAGGAGAAGAAGAAGAGGAAAACAATGAACCAGACCAGTCAATGCATTGAACAAAGTAGGAAAATAGAGGCAATATTGCTTTGCCAGTCCTGGAGGGCATCTCTTCTCATTTGTCCTCATTGGATCATGCTTCCTCTTTCAGGGGGGAAAATGCTTGTATTGAGCTGAGGAAATTAAAGAAAAATTGCTACAGATACGTGAGTAGGATTTTCTTTCTGTGTCTCTTTTTGGGCACTGACTCCTGTGTGTTTCTTAGAATGTTTACCCTTTATAAAGTTGGTAGCCTGAATGCTTTGGAACTGATGACTCTTTCTGGCTTGGACTAGGTTTTTTGAAAGTCAGTTCAAAATCCATATTTCACTTTCACACATTCCACGATAGAAGGAGTATTGAGGAAAAGACTATCACTTCCTTCATAAATCATATTGGCCAAAAAGAAAATTCATCTGAACACAAGTTCAGCTTACAGATTTCCCAAATTTGGTTTTGATTTTTTTTAAACACATTTTATTTCTCTCTTTCTAAAAATGTTTCTTTTCCACAGGAAAACAATGAAGCTCCTACAGTGGACAGCATCATTGAAACGAAAGCCATCACAAAAAAAAAGTATGTTAATTTTGATGTTTCAACTCTGGCATCTACCTGGAAAACCAGGTAAACTCAAGTACAACTAGTGGGGATTTAAGAATGGTAGAATCTCAAGAAAACAATCTTGCAGCATCCTGGTAAAGTCTAAAACATAACTGTATCCCATGTCTGTCCCTGTCATCCTTTTACTTGGAATATACCTAATGGAGACTATTATGCAAACAGGTAAAAAGAGAGGTGATTTTCAAATAATTTTCTCCAATAACCTGGAGATGCCTGAAAAGCCTGACAAGTTAAGACTGTCTGAAGAAATTTTAAATAATCACTATAAAAAGCATAATGGCAGGAATGTTAAATAGATTAGTATAAGGAACAAGAAAATTTTGGAAAAACTGTGAATTAATGTGAGCACATGGAACCAGAATAAAAGAGTCTACAATATTTGAACCGTCACCCACAAGGAAACATATATGCTTTGAAGTAAGAGGAATGTTTTACAGAGAGTGATGGATAGACAAAACGGTAAAGGGGACACACAAGAGAATAACTGATAGGTAGAATTCAATGAATGGAATCGACTATACCTAAATTCATTCAACTAGATCAGTGGAAGAATTGGGAGAGAAGCCAAGAATCTTGATATCCAAATCCACACTCTCCACTTAAAACACTTAAAATGTTTATTTTATATTTCAGAGAAACTGAATTGAAAACACAGGAGCTGATCATAACAACAGCCTGTCAAGAGAGAGCACAGAAATTTTACAATGAAGTGAAAAAGATATTGGCCATGGTGAGAGAGAGTTCAGTTCATTAGTACTTTTCCCATTTGAATTCAGTGATTTACTTAGAGCCTATTTGTGTGCAGTGTCCTGAAAAGTATGAGATGTAATGAGGAGGCTATAGGAAAAGCATTAAAGTAATGCCCCCAACTTGGGTGGTACTGGTAGTTGGAACCCCAAAAACTGAAAACAACTATTTCTACAGAGAGGAAATGCCACTCCCTTGTTCCCACAGAATTCTGAAGGTGGCAAAAATTTTATTTTTTTACCATTGTAATTTTATTCTTTTCAAGTGGCAATAGTTTTTTCTAATTAATTTATTTATTTTTAGTTTTCAGCATTCACTTCCATATGCTTTTTTGCTTTTTTTCTGGAAAAAGAAAGTATTTGTTTTATTCTGAACTTAAGAAGTAAAACAAGCATTACCATGACGTAGTACAATTTTTACAAAAAGGTGATTATGCCTGAAACTGAAAATCTGTTATCAAGAACTTGCTGTTCCTTTTAAATATATACATAAAGTTATCATGTAACTTTTTTCTTTTTTTCTTCCCTCCTCCTCCCCCCGAAGAACTTCTCTCTTTTTATTTTTGAAAAATTTATTTATTTATTTGCGGTTTTCAACATTCACTTCCATAAGCTTTTGAGTTTTAAATTTTCTTCCCCTCTCCTCTCCTCCCTCCCCAAGACCGTATGTAATCTGATGTAGGCTCTACATATACATTCTTATTAAACATATTTTCACACTAGTCATGTTGTAAAGAAGCATTAGAACGAATGTGAGGAACCACAAGAAAGAAGTGAAACAATTTTAAAAAAAAGAAAAGAAAAAGCAAATAGTATGCTTCGATCTGCATTCAGACTCCATAGTTCTTTCTTAGGATGTGGATAGCATTTTCCATCGTGAGTCTCTTGGAGTTGTTTTAGATCCTTTTATTGCTGAGAAGAGCTAATTCTGTCAGACTCAGTCATCACACAATGTGGCTGTACTGTGTACAATATTCTCCTGGTTCTGCTCATTTCATTCGGCATCAATTCATATAAGTCCTTCCAGGTTTTCCTGAAGTCCATCTCTTCATCATTCTTATAGCACAATCGTATTCCATTACATTCATATACCACAACTTGCTTAGCCATTCCCCAATTGTTGGGTGTCCCCTCAATTGCCACTTCTTGGCTACCACAAAAAAAAAGCTGCTATAAATATTTTTGCACACGTGGGTGCTTTTTCCCATTTTTACAGTCTTTTTGGGATACAGCCCTAGAAGTGGGATTGCTGGGTCAAAGGGTATGCACATTTTTATAGCCTTTTGGGCATAGTTCCAAATTTCTCTCCAGAATGATTGGATCAGTTCACAACTCCACCAACAATGCATTAGTGTTCCAATTTTCCCACATCTCCAGTATTTATCATGTTCCTATTTTGTCATGTTAGCCAATCTGATAGGTATGATGCAGCACCTAAGAGTTGTTTTGATTTGCATCTCTCCAATCAATAGTGATGAAGAGCATTTTTCATATGATTATAAATAGCTTTAATTTCTTCATCTGAGAACTGCCTGTTCCCATCCTTTGACCGTTTACCAATTGGTGAACCATAGATTGGAACCCCTAAGGCTATAAAACTGTGCACACCCTTTTACACAGCAATACCACTTCTAGGTCTGTATCCCAAAGAGAGATCATAGAAATGGGAAAGGGACCGACATGTTCAAAAATATTTATAGTAATTCTTTTTGTGGTGGGAAAGAATTGGCAGTTGAGGGGATGCCCATGAATTGGGGAATGGCTGAACAAGTTATGGTGTATGAATGTAATGGAATACTATTGTGCTGTAAGAAGTTGTGAGCAGGTGGACTTCAGAAAAATTTGGAAGGGCTTGTATGAACTGATGCTAAATGAAGTGAACAGAAGCAGGAGACAATTATACACAGAAACAGCCACGTTGTGATGACTGAGTCTGACAGAATTAGCTCTTCTCAGCAATAAAAGGATCTAAAACAACTCCAAAAGGCTCACGATGGAAAATGCTATCTATATCCAGAGAAAGAATCATGGAGTCTGAATGCAGATTGAAGCATTTTCTTTGCTCTCTCTATTTTTTTTTCTTCTTTCTTGTGGTTTCTCCCATGGTTTCTAATTCTTCTTTACAACATGATTAGTGTGAAAATAAGTTTAATATGAATGTATATGTAGAGTCTATATCAAATTGCATGTCATCTTCAGGTGGAGAGAGGGGGAGAGATGGGAAGAAAATTTGGAACTCAAAATCTTATGGAAGTGAATGTTGAAAATTAAAAACAAATAATTTTTTTAACAAAGAAAAAAATATATCACAGAAAGGAACTTCTTTCTATTGTACATGATGTTTGAGTATTCCTTTCTTTTGCTAAGTCTAGCAATGCCTCCAGAGCTTACCAAGTTAAACTGTGTATTATGCTATTCTCAACTTTGTGCCTGTTTTGCAGTTTTTCTTGCAGTTTGCCTAGAACAATATCCCTACTTCTTTGTGTTCTAAGGCTCCTTGCACAATGGGCCTCTGAGTTCACTTGCTTCTATCCAGACTATTCTCCTCATCTGTCTTACTTTTTTCTTTTCCTTGTTTAACCAGGACCAAAGAGTTTAGATCAGGACTGCTTTAGGATAGAGTTTGCCATGTTGTAATAGTGGCCCCTGAGTGTCCCTATGTTTTTTTCAAATTTTTCCACTGAAAATCTCCAACAATCTTTTGTCTAATCTTACACTTTTTCTCAGCCTTTGGAATTTCTTACTTCTCCACCACTTGTGACCCAGTGGAGTTTTCCTTCCATGTACAGATTCTCTCCTCCCTCTCCTTTCATGATACTGCTTTCTCCTGATACCCCTCCCACCCAGTTGTATATTTTTCATTTCTCTATGTTGACTCACCTTCTATCTCCCACTCAATAAAGTAAGACTGAGTGTTCTCTTGCTTTCTCTTCTCTGTAATCTCTCTCTACTACCTCTTTCTTCCTGATCTCATCAGTTTCCTCTGGGTAAATGAGTATCTCTCTACAGAAAACTCCCAAATGTATAACTCCAAGCACAATCTGTTTCTTGAGTACCAGTCCTTGTCTGGTCCTTCCCTGACTCTGGGCCTTGCACAAAACCAGGGGGATCCCTGGTCTGGCCTGAGAATGTGGGGCCCAGTGTTCTTCCCTGCTTGTACAGCATCCCTCTAAGACAGTCAGTGTTACCTGCCTCAAATCTCCTGCATGTGATGGAAGCCAGGTAGATACACCCTTGCTTCTCCTTTCACCTAGGCTCTTTGCACTGATCCCCCTCTGGCAGGGGTGGGGGATGTGGGGGTTCTCACTGTCCTGAGGCCCCTGAAGAGTATTATAAATTATGGAAACCCCAGTGGTTCTACCTACCCCACCCATACCCTTCAGCCTCTTATTTATACTAAAAGCTGCTTGATTTCACTGAAAAAAGATCAATCAACATGCCTCCCGTGCTCAACACATCCACATTTTCTTCCCACAAAACCTGACACTTCCTCTATGGAGGGTACTGCCTTCTGTTCAGTCATTTAGCTCACTGTTCTCAGAATCCTCTTCGACTCTTTAGACTCCCTCACTTAGGCCTATGTATCATGCTATCAGCTTTCAGTTCTTATCACTTCTGCCTCTGTAACATCTCTTGTATTTACTCCTTTCTCTCTACTCATAGGAGAACTACTTTTCCTGGTTGAGGTTCCTATCACCTCTTGCCTGGACTTAGTTATCATTGTATTTTAAGAAATTAAAATTTTTATTGATACCTTTTTAAAAAAAAATTTCTCCTAGTGTTCTGCCCCTTTCTCACACACTTTATTTTAAAACAATAAAAGAGAAGAGGAAGAAAACGAATACAATTGCAAAGGCAGTCAATATATTGAAAAATGTTGTAGACTATAGATAATATTGCACCCCCTTGTATTGAGCCCTTCTGTAAAAGAGTGAGGATTAGGAGTCTCTTCTCACATCTTCTCTTTGGGTCAGGTTTGCTCTTTAAAGTTTGCAACTTTATCTGCATTGTTGTACAGAGAATAATTAAAATTTCCTGCAAATGTGTCATTAGGATTTACCCTCTGTGCTTGTGAATTTGGACTGTTGAGCATTGGCTCCTGTGGGTTTCTGAGGATGTTTCCAAAGTTGGTAGCCTGAATGCTTTAGAAATGATAACTTTCTCACTTGGACTACACTTTTTGGAAGTTGGTTCAAAGTCCTTATTGTGCTTTCACATGTTTTGCCTTGGAAGGGGTATTGAGAAAACGATTCTAATCTCCTTCGAACATCTTTTCTGCCTAAAAAATTACCAAAACAAAAAGTTCAAAGTAGTCTCAGTTCAAAATTTTGACTTTGAATTTCTTTAAAAATATTTTTTTCTCTCTTCCTAACAATGTTTCTTTTCTACAGGAAAAAATTGAAGTGGAAAGTGGAACTGAAGAGGAAAATGGTTTTGATGATTATTCAATTCTGTTATCTCTCTGGAGAACCAGGTATACTCATGTAGTGCTAGTCAGTTTTCAGAATGGTAGAATCTCTTTAGGAAAAAAAATGCAGTAATATTTTTAGACAGTCATAAAAAATAAGTGTATCCCACCTCTGTCTCTGTCATTCTTTTATTGAGAATATACCAGGTGGAGCGGTAAAAGGAGGTTATGTTCAAATACCATTTCTAGTAGTATTCTTTAGTTACTCCAAAAACCTGGAGGTGCCTGAAATGTCTGGCAAGTGGAGACTGAGAAAATTCTAGATGACCAACAGAGAAGAATAATGCCAGGAACTGAAATCGATCAGTTTAAGGAAAAGGAAGATTATAGAAACATCTGTATAATTTAGTGTGAGCACAAAAAAATAAAACCAGAATACAAGAGCATGCATTAATTTAGCAACCACTCCTAAAGTGATCTATGTGCTTTGAATTTAAAAAGCAATGTTATACAGAGAGGGAGAAATAGACAAAATGGTAAAGAAGACACACAAGGAATTACTGATAAGAAGTTGTCAGTATTATATAGATTTCAATTAAAGGAATCCAATAGGCCTAATTCACTCCATTATCAGTAAAAGTATTGGGGTAAATGCCAATCTCTTGATACCCAAGTTAGAACTCTCCCCACTTAAAACACATACACGGTTTTGTTTTCCAGAGAAGCTGTATATAAGAAACAAAGACTGCAATTCCAAACAGTTTTAGAAGAAAGAAGTCAGACATTCTTCAAAGAAGTCAAAGAGTTATGTGCTATGAGGAGAGAATTCAATTCATGGGTACTTTTTCTTTGCCAGTAACTCGGTCATGTGGTGAAAACTAGCTCAAACCAAATGGCTGTCATAAGAACATCAAATTAGCAGCTCCTAGACTAGGGAATTCACATTTCCCCACACTCCTTGTTGCTCCTGTCTTTATCTAAACCAGATACTTGATTTAGACCCTACCACCAACAATAGGATGAAGGGAGAACCTCAAAGAATCTGTGAGGATCTGACTTATAAATTGAGTCCTTTGGGTTAAAAAGTTGATATTTACCAGTGAAGATGTAAGCTAAAGTTAAGAGCACTTCTTAAATTGGCATTAACACCATCATTGAACTTCTTTGTTACTATTCAGTTACTTTCAGTTTGGGTTTTCTTGGCAAAAATACTGGAGTGGTTTGGATTGCCTTCTCCAGCTCATTTTGCAGATGAGGAAACTTGGGCAAAGCAGGTTAAGTAGCTTGCCCAAAGTCACACAGCTGGTCAATGTGTGAGGCCAGATTGCAACTCAGGAGGATGAGTCTTCCTGACACCAGGCCTGCCACTCTATCCACTGTGCCTCCTAGCGACCCCATTTGAATTCTGGGATTCTTCACCTTGGATTCAAGTCCCCCAAAGGGATGAAACAAACATCAGTTTTCTTACCTATGACTGTCTTGTGATGTGAAGATAGTGGATTGTTATGTTCACATATTTAGGCACATATAAGATTCTGAACCCAGGTTTTTTTTAATATATGACATATATAATCATCTCATCTTGTTATTTTCACCAAAAAAATTCCAGAATTTTCAGTCTAGCTATTTACCTTCGTTATTTACTCTAGTGATTCACTCTAGTTGTACATTCTTCACTCAGGAAGATGAGATGCTGCTAAGCATCTAATCCTATGCATAAGTGTGTAGATAGCGACACTTTTTTTTAAAGTAGCATGTTTTTCCCCAGTTACATGTCATGAAAATTTTTAGCATTCATTTTTACAAGATTTTGAGTTCCAATTTCATCTCCCTCCTTCCCCTCTCCTCTTCTGAAAATGGTAGGCAGTTTGATATATTTTATACATGTGCTATCATGTAAAAATATTTCTGTTATTAGTCACAGTTGTGAAAGAAGGAATATAGATCAAAGGAAGAAGAAAAACCACAAGAAAAAAAATCAAGTAAGGGAAGAAATATGTTTTCTTTAGTGGATTTTTTTTTATCTCTTTTTCCATTTGGTCAATTCTGCTTTTTAAGCAGTTTTCCAAGCTATTAACTCTTTTATCATAATTCTCTTGCATCAATCTCATTTTTCCCCATTTTTTCTTCTACCTCTCTTCCATGATTTTTCAACTCCATTTTGAGCTCTTCCATGAGTCCTTTCTAGGCTTGAGGTGACTTCCCATTTTCCTTTGGGGCTTTGCCTGTAGGTGTTTTGACATTGTTGTCTTCTGAGTCTGTGTCTTGGTCTTTGCTGTAACCATAATAACTTTGTACAGTTAGATTCTTTTTTGTTGTTTTTTGCTCATCTTTTTTTTGGGGGGGAGGGCAGCTTTTTCCTGTCTTGTAAACTTGAGCTCTGCACCCTGAAAGGGGCACTATCTCAGGCTTCCTATGCCAGTGGCTGCAGGTTCTTGCTTTTTATCTGGTGCTGTGCTGATGATATCCTGAGGCTCCCAGGGGACCCTCCTGTCTAGTACTGTGCTGAGGGGGTGGGGTGTGGGTTGGATAGCACTGCTGGAGTCCATAGGGGTCTGGCAGCTTATGTGGTGTTTGTCTGTGTCGTAATGGTGGCGTCTGGTGTGTGCTGAGGCCTGGTGGGGTATTTCTTCATTTCTCCAGGCCTACACTGGAGCATGTGGAGGTCTGGCCCCTGAAGGATGCCTGTTTACCCTGGGCTGTGCTGAAGCACATGGAGGTCTGACTGCTGCAGGGTGCCTTTTTGCCCTGGATCACAGTCCAGTAGTTTTTCTGAAGCTCGTGGAGGGCTTGGCTTCTAGCAGATGGCTGTTTGCGTGTGGCTACGCTGAAGCACCTATGGTGGTTCTTGAGGCTGGAGTCTGCTGGTTCTCCTGGCTATGCTAAGGCACATGGGGGTCCTGGTGTTAGCTTTTGCCTGCTCTAACATGATGGGGTTCAGGATCTCCCACTGGCTTGCTGAGGTAGGGCGTGTTGCAGGCTTGCTGGGATACTTTGTGTCCTGGAACACGCTCCCTTTTTACATGAGAGAGATGGATCTTTCTTGCTGATCTTCCAAGTGTCTTGGGCTAAAATACTGGTTCACCCCTCCTTTTTGCTGGTTCTACTCTTCCATGATTTGTTTGGGGCACTATTTTGTGGTTGTTTGGGAGTCAATATGGGAGAGTTATAGCAATTTACTGCTTACTCCACCATCTAACCACACTTTTTACAAGTAGACTTCTATGCCTAAATTTGATGGCCACACAAATGAATTTACCTAAGAGATGCTTATTTTCTTCTAATTGTAAATCAATGGAGGACCACTGGGGATTCCATTTTCTAAGTGGCACAATACACTAACTCTTTCATAGAGGTGACCCTGCTGCTCAGGCAGCCCACCTGGCTGTTTTACAGATAAGGAGACAGATACAAATTCTGTCTCCTTTCACATTGTCTTATTGATGAAGTAAGCAAGACTTATTCTTCCCTTTGAAAATAAATAGGATTTGGAATTCAAAACTTTACAAAAAAGATTTCAAATTGTTTTACCATGTAATTGAGGAAAATATCCTCAAAATATCTATGTATATATTAACATACACATATACTTTTTAAGGTTTGCTCTCCTTTATGGGTCCCAAGCTTGCTTATTAATTAGAGAAATACCAATAGCGTTTCAAATAACACAATGTGGGTAGGAATATTATCCTCAACTCCCAGACCAATGACAAAATATTGAGGAACACCATTGGCCACAAAGAAAAAACTTGTGTTTACATTCCAGTGGGAAAAATGGGATTTTCCTCAATTTACCTAGCTAATAAGAAATCCTCACTCTGTTGCAGGCTTAAAAATTAGTAACGCTCATGAGGTCTTCTCCAATGGAAGATTATCTCCATAAAGGCCACTCATAAGGAGAGGCTCTCTCTATTTAGTTCCAAATTCAAAACTTGCAGCTTATTTCATTTCATTATTTTTGTCCAAGGAAAGTTTTTCCTCTGTTCTTGGTAACTGATTTGACTTTAACATAGATAATATAACAAAAGAGAACACAGATCACTGATCGATTTCCAGCCAGGAAAATTTGGCTGTATATATGGAGCCTTTCTCTTGACTTTGAAGTCCTTGGAGTATATGTGCCTAGAAGTGTGATCAAAGGTGTGGTCATTTTATTGACCTTTCTTAAGGAATTCCAAATGTTTTTTCTCCATAACTATTAGACCCTTTTTAGCTCCTCCAAAAACATATGAACAATTAGCCTATCACCCACAGAATCTCTTGTTATGGGTGTTCCCCTATATTATCATTATTGCCCATTTGATCTTGATAAAGGGAAACCCATTTGGCATTTGGCATTCATTGGCATTTTCCTTCCATGATGGAGGGCTGTTTTTCATAGGGCTGTTGATGGTCTGCAATTCTTCTTCGCAAAACTGTTTGTTAATAATGGTATTGGACAATTACCAAGAGAACGGGAGAAAGATGTGTGTGTGTGTGTGTGTGTGTGTATGTATCTATGAACACACATATATACATACACACGTGTGTGTATATAACCCAAGTCTTATCAGTTTGTATTAATTATTGTGGTAACTGAGAATGAATGCAAAGACTTTTCCTGTCTGAGGTTTTTTCCTCTTGTAACCTGCCAACATTGATTCTGGTCATACAAAAGGTTGCTGAGGTAATGTCATTAAGATTATCTATATTTTTCTTATGTGGTGGCCTATATGATGGCCTACATTGCTTATTTGGTTGTGCATTTCCCCACAATCATATCACAGAAAGGAACTTCCTTCTATTTTACATGATGTTTGAATATTCTTTTTTCATATTAAGGCTAGTTAGGCCTCTAGAGCTTTTCATGTTAAATTCTGTCTGATATTATTAGAGCCTAATTGCTTTGTAGTTTTTCTGGCACTTCGTCTAGAACAAAGAATCTTCCTCTTACTGATTTGTATTTTTAGGTTGCTTTCATGGTGGACTTCTAGGTTCACTTGCTTCTAAGGTCTTGCTTATACAGCTAGTTCACCTCATCTGACTTTCCCCCCCCCCCTTTTATAACTACAACCAAAGAGTTTTGATGAGAACTGACTGCTTTCTGATATACTTTGCCATGTAGTAATGGTGCATCCTGTTGATCCCTAATTTTTTTTCAATTTTTTTCTGTTAAAAGTCTTTAAAGTTGTTATCCTGTCCTTTCAGTCATGTGTGACTCTTTGTGAACCTATTTTGGGTTTTCTTGGCAAAAATACTGCCGTGGTTTGCCATTTCCTTCTCCACCTGTCTTGACAGATGAGGAACTGAGAAGCAAACAGGGTTCAGCGACTTGCCCAGGATCACACAGCTAGATTGTGCAGTGGATAGAGCACTGAGCCTGGAGTCAGAAAGACCTGCCTTCAGATCTGGTCCCAGATATTTAATAGCTGTGTGAAGCCTAGGCAAGTCACTGAACCCTCTTTGCCTCAGCTTCCTCATCTGTGAAATGAACTGTAGAAGGAAATGACAAGCCACCGTAGCATCATTGCCAAGAAAACCACAAATGAGATCTCAAACAGTTGGACATGACTGAGATGACTGAACAATAAGAACAATAGTGACCTCTTTTCATCTCTATTATTTTTTCAAATTTTTCCACCAAAAACCTCAACAATCTTTTAACTGTCGAATCTCATGGCTTCTCAATTTTTGTAGTTCTTTGCCTCTCTACCACTTTTGAAGCAGAGGAGTTCCCCTTCTCCTTACAGATTCTCTCCTCATCTACCCTTCATGAAACTACTCCCTCCTGGTGCCTCTCCTATCCTTTACTTCTCATTTCTCTATGTTGGATCACTGTCCATTTCCCACTCAATAAGATTATGTGTCCTCTAGCATTCTGCCTCATATAATCTCTCTCTCCTCCCTTTTTCTTCCTGATCTCATGAGCTCTGTTTGGGTGAATGATTATTTCTCTGCAGAAGACTCCCAGATCTATAGATACAAGTCCAACATTTCTCTTGAGTTCCAGACACGATCAATCAATCAGTCATTCAGTTAATCACTTAGCATGCATCTCATACTAACACATCCAAATTATCTTTTCCCAAAACCTGTTACTCCACAAAACTTTTCTGCTTCTATTAAGGACACTGTGTCTTCTATCCAGTCACTCAACTCTTCTCTGCACTCAGAGTCATCTCTGTCTCTTAAGTCTTCCGTATATACATTATGTGTGTGTGTGTGTGTGTGTGTATGTATATACATACATACATGCGTATATAAATCATTCATTGCACTGAAATAAGTTTTAAAATATCAGCATATTGCACCCCCTTGCACCTTCTACCACTGCAAAAGAAGTGAGGGTTGGGATTCTCATCTCATATCTCTTCTTTGAGTCATGTTTGTTCTTTAAAGTTTGGAAAATTGTTTTCATTGAGCTGCAGAGGCTAAAGAAAATATCCTGTAGATGTGTCAGTAGGATATCCTTTCTGTGCTCGTAAATTTGACTTGTTGGGCACTATGTATTTCTTCGGATCTTAGCCTGACTGCTTTGGAACTGATGACTCTTTCTTGATTGTACTACACTCTTTCAAAATTGGTTCACAATCCATATTACACGTTCACAGGTTCTTCCTGGGAAGGGGTGCTGAGAAAAGAAGGGTTTTTTCCTCAGAAATCTTTCCTGCTTGAAAAAACATTATCATCAAAGCATAAGTTAGAGTTGTCTCAGCTCAAATATTTGGATGTGAATTTTTTTAGAAATACATTTTATATCTCTCTAAAAATGTTTCTTTTTGAAAGGAAAACATTAATGAGGAAGAAAATATCACCATAAAGGAAAACATGACTAAAAAGGAAAACATTTATGATGCTTCGACTCTACTATCTTCCTGGACAAACAGGTACACTCATGTACTACTAGTGGGATTTCAGAATAGTTGAATGTTTTAGGAAACAATGTGATGGTATCCTGGTGAAGTTACAGAAATAACATTAGACCCTGCCTTTGTCACCCATCCCTTTATTGGGAAAATCTTCAATGGAGTATATTTTACAAACAAGTAAAAAGAGAGGTTATGTTCAAAGAACATTTCTTGTACTATTCTTTTTTACTCCAGAAACCTGGAGATTCCTGAAAGGCATAACAAGTTGAAGAAATTCTGTCAATTCTTCTGTCTGAAGAAATTCTAGATCATTAACATAGATGAATAATAACAGGAACTAAATCGATTCTTAGAAGGAAAAGGAAAATTCTAGAAACTTCTTCTCTATGAATTAGTGTGAGCACAAAAATTCAGAGTAAAAGAGTATAGATTAATTTATATACTTTGAATTAAAGGGGAAATGCTATATACAGATGGTGATGAATGGACAGAATATTAAAGGGGAAGCACAAGAGAATAAGTGGTAAGAAATTGTCACTGTTTTAAGAGGTCAATAAATGGAATCCAATATACCTAATTCACTCAACTAGATCGGTGAAAGAAGTGGAATAGAAGACTCTTGATACCCAAGTTAGCACTCTCCCAACTTAAAACACACGCAAACACACTTTGTTTTTGTTTTCCAGAGAAACTGAATTCAGGAAACAAGAACTGACAAGAAAAATCATTTTGCAAGAGCAAACGCAGGCATTCCTCACGGACATCAAAGAGTTGTATGCCGTGGTGAGAGAGTCTAGTTCATGGGTACTTTTCCCATTTGTATTCCATAAGGATTTCTTCAGGGACTGTTTGTGTGCACTCTCCTGAAAATTGTGGGATACAGTGAGAACGTAAAAAAGGAATAAAAGCGATGCCTCGAAATGCAGGTTGCTGGTAATTTTGGGGGAAAGCCCCAAACATAAAAACAAATGTTTCTGCAGAGAGGCAATGCCACTTCCCTGTTCCTAGGCATTCTGAATTAGGGCAGATTTTTTTTTCAGCATTGTAACATTTTTTTCTTTCAAGTGGCAATAATAATATGTATTGACTATTGTTTCCAAAATGACTATTACTTAAAACAAATAACTCTTCCAAGCTTCAACAATTGGAAACACTAGTATACATCGTGAAACTCATCACCTCAATTATTTGGGGGGTGGGGAGGGTGGTTTATTAAATTTATTGATTTATTTTGATTCTGTAAACTGGTTATTCTCAGATTCCTCCGCATACTTTCACCATTGAGTAGTTCCCTGTAATACAAAGATAATGCATACATATATACATACGTGCATATGAACAAATCATACATATATACTTCATAAATAAGCAAACAGTTCAGCAAAACCTGCCACCATAACTGCACCTGACAGAAGATACAACATTCTGCATCTGTAGCCCAGAGTGTCCTCACCAAATAGAGGGAACTGGATTACATTTTCCATTTTCTAGGCTAGGGGTAGGATTTTCCAATATGGTTAATAAGAGAATATCAGACTTTCAGTGTTGTGCTGATTTGCAGTTATTTTAGTTATAGCTAATATTCTCCTTACCTCATTCTGTATCAGTTCTTAAATGTTTACCTAGGCTATTCTAAATTCTTTGAATTGGTCATTTCCTACAGTACTAAATTGTACTCTCCAAAGTTACTTTTGTTCCACATCCAAAGGCATTATGTCAGTTCTCATCTTTCTTGATCTCTCTACAGCCTTGGACACCATTCATCATCCTGTTCTCTTGGATAGGCTTTCCTCTTTAGGTTTTTGTGCCACTGCTCCCCCGTGGGGCTTCTCCTATGTGTTTTGTCTGTCCCCTGGAGTCTTCTTTTGTAGAATCGACATCGCTGGCCACAAATCATAGGTTTGTCTCCCATGGCTTTGTGCTCTTCCCTCTTCACTTCTCCTGTAACATCTTGCTTGACAGTTTTTCTGAGCTCCTGTGAGGTCAATGAATCATCATTCCATGTAAACAATCTCTTGCCAAGCCTTGTCATTTCTTCCTTCACAACATTTCTTTTCTATATCCCATTTTCTCTTCCCACTCAATCATCACATTGATACAGGCCCTGTTTACCTCATGTCCAGATAATTGCAAGAGCCTTTTCCTTCCTCAAGTCTCCCTCCACTCCAATCCAGTCTAGCCTCACTTGCCAAGGTGATATTCTTAAAACATAGATGTGATCATATTTCTTCCTTATTTGATAAAATCCAGAGTCTTTTGGACCAAGTATATAATCCTGCCTTTGGCTTTTAAAGATTTCCACCACCTGGCCTCTTTCCAACTCTTCCAGTCTGTTTTTACTTTACTCTCTTCTGATTATTATTTAGATCCAGAGGCCTGGGGGCCTTCTTGTTCTTCCTCAGACAGCATTCTCCATATTCCAAACCCACGTTTTTTCAATCTCTGTTCCCTCTGTCTAGAACGTTCTCTCTTTTCACCTCCACGGAATGGCTTTCACATTCTCCAAGACTCAAATTCTACCTTCTGAAGGATCCTTTTTATAGTGACCCTTCCCCATCCATACTGGCTAATCCATCCCTGGCTAATACCTTTCTTCTGACATTATTTTCCATTGATGCTCTCTGTGTTCAGGGAAGACTAGTATCTTACCCGTAGATTGTAGCAGTCCCAGTGACCACACCCTGATAAATCATTTCAGCAGATGGGCTAAGCCAGGTTCAGGGTAACCAAGGGGACTCAAAAGCTCCAATGAGTTAGGGGGTGTCTACCCCAACCGTGTGAAGACCTCAGCCGATGAAATGGACTGACAAGAACAATTTGCTCTTGTTCTTGTCTTCTTCAGTACAATGGAAGCAGGTGTTGTGTAGTGCTTAGAGCTTGGTTAGACATCATGGATACCTAAGGTCTTCCACTGCATTCCAGCCATTCTCAGTCATCTTGACTTTGTCTTGCTAATGGACTCCAATGACTCTGGAAGAGAGAGTAAGGCTGACAACTTTGTGCAACCCTGCCTCACGTATCCAATTTATACATGAATCCAAAAACATCACACATACCACTTTGCCATTTTTATCTACCTCAAAGTCTATGCAGACAGGCAAGTGATGAAGCAGCGGGTGTGGATACATTGGGAGCTGTAGTCACAATCCTGCACACAGATGCCATAGCATTGCCTTTTCATTGGACTGAGGCAGCAGTGAAATTTGTCAGTCTCCTTGGTGTCTGAGCAGGCTTTGTTAAGGAACGTGGCTCCTCTCCTGACATGAGAAAAGGGCTAGAAAAGGTGCCCTAAAAACCCTGTTTCATTATAGGTGGGGATTCCACCCTGTGGTCGAAACACACACACAAAAAAATACAAAACATTTTGCAAAGTTGATGCCATTCACCATCAGTATATGGAATGTGTGTATGTTTATGGACAACATGAATTCCAGTAGACCTGAAAGATGAACAGTCCTTGTTGTAAGAGAACTCAGCAGGCATTGTATCGAAATAGCAGCCCTGAATAAAACAAGACTGGCAAATGAAAGCCAGCTCACAGAAGTTTGAGCTGGATACACGTTTTTCTGGAGTGACCTCAGTAAAAGGAAGAACTGTGAAGCTGTCTTAGCTTTTGCAATCAAAACTAACCTAGTCAACAAGTTCATATGCCTGCCAAAGAAAGATAACAACAGGGTCATGACATATTAGACTGCCTACCAAACTGAAGGTCAACAGAGCTGTTAGGCTGACCTCATTATTTTATGCCAGGGAAGCCTGAACAGTGTTTTACATGATGGACAAATATTCCTCTCTTATGTTAAAGGATGAGCTCCAGAGCTCATCCAGTTAAATCACATAGGATGCTATTCTAACCCTATTTAGTGCCTAACTGCTATTTTTTTTTTGTATTTTGTCTAAGACAAAGAGTCCTCCTTCTACTTGTTTCAGTTCTTGTGTTCCTTAAATATTAGACTTCTTCTGTATTCACATGTTTCTTGGGTCTTGGTTATCCAGCTTGTTCCTTTCATCTGCCTTTCTTTTTTCTTTTCCTTGTAATCACTACAACCAAAGAGTTTTGATGAAGACTACTCTAGGATATAGTTTGCCGGATAGTAATAGTGGGTCCTTTGGAACTCTATTTTTATTTTCAAAATTTTCCCCTGAAAAACCTCAACAATTTTTTAATTGTCGAATCGACTGGATTTTTCTGTCTCTGTAGTGCCTTGCTTCTCTGTGTAGTTCAAACTCCACAGCGGAGTTCCCATTCCACATACAGATTCTATTCCCCCCCAATTTTCATGATGCTGCTTTTTCCCAGTGCCACTCCTACCAGATGTACACTTCTCTTTCTCTATGTTGGATCACCTTCTGTCTCCTGTCCAATAATACTGGGTGTCCTCTAGCATTGTGCCCTGTGGAATCTTCTCTCCCTGCTCCCTTTCTATTCCTGATTCCACGAGCACTCTTTGGGTGAATAATTATCTCTCTATAGAAGACTCCAGATCTATTGATCTAAACACAATCAGTTTCTTGAGTTCCAGCCCCAGTCAGTCAATCAACTTGCATTCTCCTCCTCAACACATTCCAATTATCTTCCTCCAAAACCTCCCTCTCTCTTGTCTTTGGCTGAAAAAAAACAACAACAACAACAACAACAACAACACCTTCTTCACTAAACTTTGTTCCTTCTACGGAGGACACTGCCTTCTTTTCAGTCACCCAGCTCTCTGTACTCAGAATTATCTCTATGCCTCTTCACTCTGGGTCAATATTCTTATGTCTCATCATATCAGTTATCAAATCATGTCACTTTTTCCTCTGGAACATATCTGGCATTCATTCCTTTCTCTCTACTCACAGGAACACTAATTTCCTTGATCCGGGATTCCAAGACTTCTTGCATGGGCTATGGAAATAACGTTGGTTTTTAAGAAATTAAAAATTTTATTGATAGCTTTTTTTAATCACTACAAATTCAAGTAGTGTCCCAGCTGCCATTAAGAGATGCCCACGCATTTTATAAAGAATAATAATTTTTGTTTTGTTTTGTTTGTGCTTTTTGGTGAGGCAATTGGGGTTAAGTGACTTGCCCAGGGTCACACAGCTAGTAAACGTCAAGTGTTTGGTCTGAGGCCAGATTTGAACTCAGGTCCTCCTGACCCCAAAGCTAGAGCTCTATCCAGTGAACCACCTAGCTGCCCCAAAATAACAATAATTTAAAACAAGAAAACAGAAGAGGAAGAAAAGGAACACAATGAGAAAAATCAGTCAATGCATTGGGAAAAAATTTTTAAATATACATAATATTGCACTGCCCTGTACCTTTCATCTGTGCAAAAGAGTAAGGGGAGAGAGTGTGTTCTCACATCTCTTTGAATCATGCTTGCTCTTTAAAACTTGCAAAGGAGGTAGAGCCAAGATGGCAGAGTAAAAGCAGGGGACTCACCTGAGCTCTCCCCAGACCTCTCCAAATACCTTGAAAAAATGGCTCTAAACAAACTCTAGAGCAGCAGAACCCACAAAAAGATGGAGTGAAACAAGTTTCCAGCCCAAGACAACTTGGAAGGTTGGCAGGAAAGGTCTGTTGTACCAGGGTGAGAGATAAACTCAGTCTAGCACAGGCTATGCCAGTGCAGACCTGGCCCCAGCAAACCCAGAGCAGGCCTCAGGGTGATTGAATCACTGGCAGGAGTGGTGGTTTCCAGACATCTCAGCCCACACATGCCAAAGACAACTTGGAAGGTCAGGAGGGAAGGTCTGTCCCATCTGGGTGAGAGTGGAACCCAGTCGAGCACAGATCCTACAACCCTGGCCCCAGCAAGCTGGGAGCAGACCTTGGGAGTGACTGAATCAGCAGCAGCAGCAGCAGTAGCAGCAGCAGCGGCTGCTTCCTGAGCTCTCAGCCCACAAATATTAAAACAGGGTCGAACAACTGGTCAGAAGGAGATTGCAGGGTTTGTCTGGTTTTTTTGCTAGCACTGAGGCAGGACTCTGCTGCTTTGCTCATACTTGGATCCAGGTTGCAGGTTCTCAGGTCAAGAAGAAAATATTGCAAGAAGCCAGAAAATAACAATTCAAGTATTGTGGAGCCATAGTCAGGACAACACAAGATTTAGCAGCTTCAACATTAAAGGATCTAAAAGCTTGGAATATGCTATTCTAGAGAGCAAAAGAGCAAAGATTACAACCAAGAATCATCTACCCAGCAAAACTGAGTATAATCAAAAAATGTATATTCAATGAAATAGAGGGCTTCCAAGCATTCTTAATGAAAAGACCAGAGCTGAATAGAAAATCTGACCTACAAATACAAGACTGAAGAGAAGCATAAAAAGTTAAACAGGAAAGGGAAATCATAAGGGACTTAATAATATTAAACTATTTACATTCCTACATAGGAAGATGATATTTGTAACTCATAAGACCTTTCTCATTATTAGGGTAGTTAGAGAGAGTATATATAGACAGAGGGCATAGGTATGAATTCAATATAAAGGGGGGATATCTAAAAAATAAAATTAAGGTGTGAGAGAGCAATATACCGGAGAAAAAGAAAAGGAGAGGTAGAATGGGGTAAATTATCCCACATAAAAGAAACAAGAAAAAGTCTTTACAGTTGAGGGGAAGAGGGAGGAGGTGAGAGGGAGTGAGTGAATGTTGCTCTCATTAGAATTGGCTCAAAGAGTGAATAACATACATAAGCAATTTGGCATAGAAATCTATCTTACCCTACAGGAAAGTAGGAGGGGAAGAGAATAGAAAAAGGGGAAGGTGATAGAAAGGAGGACAGATTGGGGGAGGGGATAATCAGAAGCAAAACACTTTTGAGGAGGGACAGGGTGAAAGGAGAGAGAGAATAGAATAAAGGGAATGGGTGGGATAGGATGGAGAAAAATACAGTTAGCAATAGTAACTGTGAAAAAAATTTGAAACAAGTTTCTCTGATAAAGGCCTCATTTCTCAAACATAGAGAACAGACAAATCTATAAAAATAAGAGCCATTCCCCAACTTATAAATGATCAAAGGATATAATCAGTTTTCAGATGAAGTAATCAAAGCTATCTATAGCCATATGAAAAAATTCTAACTCCCTATTGATTGGAGAAATGCAAAATGAAACAATTCTGAGGTACTACCTCATACCTATTAAATTGGCTCATAGGACAGAAAAGGTAAATGACCAGTGTTGGAGGGCATGTGTGAAAAATGAGACATTAGTGCACTGTTGATGGTGGTGTGAATTGATTCAGCCATTCTGTTGAGCCATTTGGAACTCTGCCCAATGGGCTATAAAACCACACATATCCTTTGACCTAGCAATACTGCTACTAGGTCAATATCCCAAAAGAATAAAAAACACAAAGGAAAAGGGCCTATATGTACAAAAATATTTATAGCAGCTCTTTTATGGGGGTAAAGAATTAGAAATTGAGGGGATGCCCATCAGTTGGTGAATGGCTGAACAAGTTGTGGTATGTGGTTATGATGGAATACTAATGTACTATAAGAAATGATGAACAAGTAGACTTCAGAAGAACCTGGGCAGACACATATGAACTGATGCTGAGTGAAATGAGCAGAACCAAGAGAACATTGTACACAGTAACAGCATCATTGCGTGATGACTAACTTTCATAGACTTGGCTTTTCTCAACAATGCAAGGATCTAATATAACTCCAAAAGACTCATGATGGAAAATGCTGTCCACATCCAAAAAAAAAGAACTAACTGCTGATCGAAGCATACCATTTGATCTTTTTTTCTTTTGTTGTTTCATTTGGTTCTTCTTTCTCATGGTTCCTCCCGTTGGTTCTAATACTTCTTTACAACATGACTAATGTGAAAATGTGTTTAATAGGGGTGTATATGTACAGCCTATATCAGATTGCATGCCATCTTGGGGAGAGGGGAAGGGGCAGAAAATTGAAAACACAAAAGCTCATGGCAGTAAACGTTGAAAACTAAAACTAAATTAATTAATTAAACAAAAAATGAAAAGTGGATAAATAGCAGAGAACATATCAAGATATCTACATCCTGATTTCTTGCTGGATGGAAAACTTTTATAAAAAGAAATATTGATTATAGGTTGAAAAATAATTGCAAGTAGGCATATCAACAAAACCAAAATATTTTGAGAAATTTTGCATCAAAAATGCAAACTAATCCATCATATTAATATTCTTTCTTATTCTTATTTATTGGTTATAAGTGTAATAGTGTAAAGGACTTTATCAACAAATATTTATGTATGATAAGTTACATTATTTTATTGTACATTTACGATGTTTCTATGTTGTTATCCACAATACTATCCATAAAAATTCTTAGTATTATTAAATAAAATAAAATATAATGAAGGGTTGTATGAAAAAGAAAAAAAAAAGAAATGATGAGCACGATGCTCTCACAAAAACCTGGAAATTCTTGCATAGGCTGAAGTAAAGTGAAATGTACTGTGTACAAAGTAACAGCAATATTGTAAAATGATCAGCTGTGAATGACTTAGCTATTCTCAGCAATATAGCAATTCAAGACAACTCTGAAGGACTTCTGATGAAAAATTCTATTCATCTCATAGAAAGAACTGATAGTGTCTGAATACAGATTGAAGCATACTTTTTTTCACCTTATTTTTCTTTTCTCGATGTTTTTTTTCTTTATATTTTCTGTATTTTTTCTTTCACAACATGACTATTTGGATATTTTGCATGATTACATGATTATGGATGTTTTGCAACCAACATAACATATTGAATTGCTTGCATTCTCAATGACGGGGGGTGGGGAGGAAGAAAGGGAGAGAATTTGGAACTCATTGTTTTAAAAATTAATGTTAAGAATTCCCTTGTAACTGAGGAAAAATAAAATAGTAAAAAACATAAATACATAAAAAATAAAATTTGCAGAATTATCTGCATTGAGCAGCAGAGAGTTAAGAAAAACTCCTGCAGATGTCTTAGTAGGATTTCCTTTTTGTGCTTGTGAATTTAGACTGTTGGGCATTACCTCCTGTGTGTTTCTTTGGATTTTTGCCCTATATACAGTTGATAACCTGAAAGCTTTTGAATGGATAACTCTTTTCTTGCTTGGGCTACATTCTTTGAAAGTTGGTCCAAAGTCCACATTACACTTTCCAAAGTTCTTTCTTAGAAGAGATGGTTGGGAAATGACTCTTACCTGCTTCAGAAATGTTTCCTGCCTGAAAAAAATCACCATCTCAAGTTCAGAATGGTCTCAGCTCAAAAATTGGGATTTGAATTTATTTAGAAATATATTTTGTATTTCTCTAAAAATTTTACTTTGCTTCAGGAAAGTGATGAACATTCGGAAGAGGAAAACATCCTTGAAATGGAAAGAATGATTGAAAATGAAACCGCTCTTAATGAGGAAAACATCACAGAAACAAAAACCACCACTGGGAAGAAATCTATTCGTTATACTGGTTGGACCCTGGCCCGTCTCTGGACAATCAGGTACACTCATGTACAAGTAGTGGGATTTCAGAATGGTAGAATTTCTTTAGGAAACAATGTGGCAGTATTCAGGTGAAGTTACAGTGTGTAACAGTGTACCCCACCTATGTCCCTGTCATCCCTTTCTTCAGAATATCCTAGGTGGAGTGTAATATGCAAAGAAGTAAAAGGAGAGATTATGTTCAAATAAAATTTCTACTAGTATTATTTTGTTACTCCAAAAATCTAGAGATGCCTGACAATTTGAGACTATCTGAAGAAATTCTAAATCATAAAGCAGGAATTAAAATTGATCGACATAAAGAAAAGGAAAAGTCTATAGAAATATCTCTGTGCATTGGTTTAAGCATAAAAAAAGAATAAAACAAGAATAAGAGATTATCAGTTAATTTAGAAACCACCCACAAGGGATGTATAAAAGAGAAATATAATACAGATCATCATCAGTGGACAAAATGTCAAAATGGACACACAAGAGAATAACTGATAAGAAGTGGTCAATATTATATAGACTTCAATGAATGTAATGCAGTATACCTTATTTGCTCAAGTATTATTAGTCGAATACTCAAGATAAAAGCCAAAACTCTTGGTACCCAAGTCAGAACTATCACCATTTAAAAGACACGCTTTTATTTTTGTTATCCAGACAAAATGAAATAAAAAAACAAGAAATGGCAAGAAAAGCAGCTCTGGAAGAGAAAGCTGAGAATTACATCAAAGTAATCAAAGAGATATATGCAATGGTGAGAGGGTCCGATTCATAGGTTCTTTCCTTTTTTATGAATATTTATTTTTCCCAATTATATGTGAAAACAATTTTCAACATTCATATTTTATTTTTTAATTTTGAGTTTCCAATTCTCTCCCACCCTTTCTTACCTCCCCCCTCCTGAGACACTAGGCATTTTGATATTATTTATACACATACAGCCATGCAAAACAATTCCATATTATTCATATTGTGAAAGAAGACATGTAACAAAAAAAAATCAGCCATGAAAAATAGAGGAAAATGGTATGCTTTGATTGCGTTCAGAGTCCATCAGTTCTTTCTCTGGAATTGGATAGCATTTTTCATTCTGAATCCTTTGGAATTGTCTTGGGTCACTGTATTGCTGAGAATCCCTGTTATTCAGAGCTGATCATTGTATAATATTGCTGTTACTGGATACAATGTTCTCCTGGTTTTGCTCAGTCCACTTTGCATCAGTCCATGTAACTCTTTCCAGGGTTTTCTGAAATCATTTCTTGGTTTGTCTGTTTGTTTGTTTTTTGGTTAGGCAGTTGGGGTTAAGTGACTTGCCCAGAGTCGCGCAGCTAGTAAGTGTCAGTGTTTGGTCTGAGGCCAGATTTGAACTCAGGTCCTCCTGACTTCAGGGCCAGTGCTCTATCCACTGCACCACCTACCTGCCCCTGAAATAATTTTTGAAGCACAATAGTAATCCATTACAATTTTATACCACAACTTGTTCAGCCATTCGCCAGTTGATGGGCAACTCCTCAATTTCCAAATCTAGGTCTCTACAAGAAGATCAGCTATAAATATTTTTGTACAAATATGTCCTTTTACCTTTTTAAAAAAATCTTGAGGATATATACCTAGTAGTGTTATTGCTGGAACAAAAGGTATGTATAGTTTTATATAGCTTTGGACATTGTTCTAAACTGATGTCCACCATGGTTGGATCAGTTCATCCCTCCGCTAACAGTGTGTTAATGTCACAATTTTCCCACATCCCTTCCACCGTTTATCAGAATTGTTTCATCATTGGTGATTTAAAGCATTTTTCACATGGCCAAAATAGCATTGAGTTCTTCATCTGAAAACTGCCTGTTCATGTCCTTTGACTATTTATCAATTGCAGAATGATTTGCATTCCTATAAATCTGACTCGGTTCTCTATATATTTGAGAAATGAGGCCTTTATCAGAGACACTTTGAGAAAAAAATTCAAAGCTTTCTACTTTCTTTCTGATTTTGGTTGCATTGGTTTTGTTTGTGCAAACCCTTTAGAATTTGTTATAATCAAAGTTACCCATTTTACATCTTGTAATGCTTTCTTTTCCTTATTTGGTCATAAATTTGTCCCTTATCCATAGAGCTGACTAATAAACTATTCTTTGCTCCCCTACGTTGTTTAAGGCATTACTCCAACTATCCAACTATGTCTCCAACTATCCATTTTGACCTTATCTTGGTATATGGTGGAAGATGTTGGTCTGTACCTAATTTCTGCTATCCTTTTTTCAGTTTTACTAGAAGTTCTCATTAAATACTGAGTTCTTGTCCAAAAAGCTTGTCTCATTGGGTTTATCAAACACTAGATTACTATGGTCATTGACTGCTGTGAATTATGTTCCTAATCTAATCCAGTGATCCACGAGTCTGTTTCTTAGCCAGTACCAGATTGTTTTGATGATTACCACTGTAAAAGACAGTATGAAATCTAGTACACCTAGGCCATCTTCCTTCAAATTTTATTTTCATTAATTCTCTTGATCTTCTTGAACTTTTTTTCTTCCAGATGAATTTTGTTATTATTTTTTTCTAGCTGCATAAAATGAAATTTTGGTAGTTTGATTCTTATGTTACTGACCAAGTAAATCAGTTGAGGTAGAATTGTCATTTTCATTCTGTTAGCTCAGCCTACCCATGAGCAATCAATCTTTTTCCTGTTGTTTAGATCTGATTTTATTTGTTTGAAAAATGTTTTGTAATTGTGTTCATATAGTTCCTGGGTTTGTCTTAGCAGGTAGACTCTAAAGTATTTTATATTGTCTACAGTTATTTTAAATGGATTTTTTTCTATGTATTGCTGCTGGGCTTTGATGGTTCTATATAGAAATGCTGATGATTGATGTGGGTTTATTTTATGTCCTTGACTTTGCAGAAGCTGTTAATTATGTCAACTGGTTTTTTAATTGGTTTTCTAGGATTTTTTATACCGTCCTATCTGTAGAATGATAGTTTGTTTCCTCGTTGCCTGTTCTAATTCCTTCAATTTCTTGTTCTTCTCTTATTACTACAGCTAACATTTCTAGTACAATATTGAATAATAGTGCTGATAATGGGCATCCTTTCTTCATCCCTGATCATATTAGAAAAGCTTCTAGCTAATTCCCATTACATATAATGCTTACTGATGGTTTTAGATAGACACTACTTATCCTTTTAAGGAAAGCTCTACTGACTCCTATGTTCTCTAGTTTTTAATAGGAATGCATGTAGTATTTTGTCAAAAGCTTTTTCTGTATCTGTTAAGAAAATGATGTGATTTCTGTTGCTTTTGTTATGGATATGGTCAATTATGCTGATAGGTTTCCTGATATTGAGCAAGCTCTGCATTTCTGATATAAGTCATAGTCATAGATCCTTGGGATATATTGCTATAATCTCCTTGCTAGTATTTTATTTAGAAATTACATCAATATCCATCAGGGAAACTGTTTTATCATTTTCTTTCTCTGTTTTCAGTCTTCTTGGTTTAGATATCAGCACCATATTTGTGTCATAAGAGAGATTTGGTAGGACTCTTTCTTTGCCTCTTTTTCCAAATACTTTATATAGACTTGTTCTTTAAATCTTAGGTAGAATTTACTTGTGAATCCTTCTGGTGCTGGGAGGTTTTTCCTCAGGCAGTTCATTGAGGCCTTTTTGATTTCTTTTTTAAATATGGGGTTAAGTCATCTATTTCGTTTTCTCTCAATGTGGGAAAATTATATTTTTGTAAATGTTCATTCATTGCACTTAGGTTATCAGATGTTTTGGCATATAATGAGGGAACATAGTTCTTGATAATTGCTTTAATTTTCTCTTTATTGGTAGTGAATTCATCCTTTTCTTTGGGTTACTGGTGCTTTCCTCATTTGTATTCCATAAAGATGTATTCAAGGCCTCTTTGGGTGCACTCTCCTGAAAATTGTGTGATATCGTTAGGAGAATGTAGAAAAGAAATAAAAGCAGTGCCCCCAATTTGGGGTTAATAGAAGTTTTGTTTGGCATCCCAGAACATGACAACCAATGTTTCTGCAGAGGCAAATACCACTTCCCTATTCTTAGGAATTCTGAATTAGGAAAGAGTTATTTTTTTCACTATTATACTGTTATTCTTTCCAAGGCACAACAGTAATATATATTCACTTTTGTTTCCAAAATGACTATTACTTAAGACAAATATTTCTTCCTAGATTGAACAATTTGAAACACTAGTAAACATTGTGACACTCTTCACATCATTTATTTGGGGGGGGGCAGTGGTTTATATAATTTATTGATATATTATGCATATCAACCTAGTCATTCTCAGATTCACACCCACACTTTCACCACTGAGCAGTTCCCTATAATATAAGATACATGCATATGCACACATGCACACATATATGTGTGGGTACACACAGAGACACATATATGTGTGTGTTTTTGAAGTGCATGTATGTGTGTGTGTGTGTGTATGTAAACACACACACTTCAAAAATAAACAGTCCAGCAAAACCTGCCAACAAAACTGTATCTGACAGAATATGCAACAGTCTGCATCCGTAGTCCACTATATTTCTGCCAAGTGGAGGGAACTGTATTTCATTTGCCATTTTCTAGGATAGGGCTAGGATTTTCCAATACAAACAAGAAGAGAATGGCAAGCTTTCAGGGATGTATTGATTCCCATTAAATTAGGCATAGCCAATATTCTCTTTACCTCATTCTGTATCAGTTCATAAATGTTTCTCTAAGCTGCTCTGCATTCTTTAAAATTATCATTTCCTACAACACTACATCATACTCTCCAGTGTTACCAATGAGGACTTTTGTTCCAAATCCAAAGGCATTATCTCAGTTCTACTTCCTGATCTCTCTGTAACCTTTGACACCACTGATTATCCAATTCTTTTGGACAGGCTTTTCTCACCAGGTTTCTGTAACACTAGTGCCACCTGCATCTTCTTCTATTTATTTTTGCAGTCCCTCTGAGTCTCCTTTTATAGGACCTACATCTATGCAGTGCCCCTCCACAAGACTTTGTCCTCTTCTCTCTTCTCCCTCCATAATATCTTGCTTAGTAATTACATCAGCTCCCATGAGGTCAATGAATCATCATTCCATTGATACAATCTCTTACCAAGCCTTGTCATTTCTACATTTAGAATATTTCTCTTCTAGATCTCCTTTTCTCTCTTTGTAAATTTAATTTTATTTTTTGGTTGCATTTTAAGTTCTGAACTGCCTCCTTTCCTCACCACCCCACACTAGAGAAGGCCACCATTGTACACATACATATAAGTAAAACCTTACTAAACATACACCTATGTATGAGTTCTCTTTCCAGAGACTGATAGCATCTTCCTTTCTAGTTGATCTGAGTATTATCACTTAGTCATTCACAATTGTTATTTAAAAAAGATTTCTGCTACTGTATAAAGTATTCTCTTCATTCTGTTCATTTTCCTCTTCATTATTTCATGCAAATTTTTTCATGGTTTTTAAAAAATCAACCAGCTCATCATTTCTTAGAGCATAGTAGAATTCCATCACAATCCTATACCACAAGTAATGTAGCCATTCCCCAATTGATGGGCATCCCCTCAATTTCTAATCCTTTGCCACCACAAAGAAAGTTGCTATAAGTATTTCAGGACATATGAGTTCTTTTCCTTTTTCCCTGATCATCCTGGGAAAGAGATCTAATAGTAATATGTTGGATCAAAGGGAATATACAGTTTTATAACTCTTTGAGCTTAATTCCAGAATGCTCTTTAAAATGGTCAGATTAGTTCACAGTTTCAACAACAGTGTATTAGTGAACCAATTTTTCCACATCCCCTCCAGCATTCCTCATTGTCCTCTTCTGAGGTGTGAGATGATACTTCAAAGTTATTTTAATTTGCTCTAACTGTATATAGGTTTGATTTCTTCATCAAAAATCTGCCTGTTCATATCTTTGACCATTTATCAAATAGGGAACAACACATATTGTTACAAATTTGACAAAGTTTTCTGTTTATTTGAGATATGAGGACTTTATTTATGTGAGAAACTGTCTGTAAAAATGTTTCCCAGTTTTCTACTTTCCTTCTAACCTTGGCTATATTGGTTTTATTTGTACAGAACCTTTTTAATTTAATCAAAATTAGCCATTTTGTATCCCACAATGCCCTCTTTCTCTTGTTTATTCATAAATTCTTCTCATATTCATAAGTTTGATGAGGTGATATCTTCCATGTTCTTCTAATTTTCTTATGCTATCTCCCTTTATAACTCAGTCGTGTGTCCATTTTGATCTTTGACCATTTGTAAATGGTGTAACGTATTGGTCTATACCAAATATCATCCAGACTGCTTTCCAGTTTCCCCAGCAATTTTTACCAAATCGTTATTCCCAAAGCTGAAATCCTTATACACACATATATGTAAACATAAATGTATACATATACATATATGTGGGTATAGTTATATATCTATCTCTAAATCTGTGTAAAATCTCCCCTTTTCTCTACCCACTCAGTAGTTACATTGATGCAGAGCCTCTTCAACTCATCCCTAGATGATTACAAAAGCCTATCCTTTCCTCATATCTCATTCCACTCCAATCCATTTTACCCTCGCCTACCAACGTGGTCTTCTGAAAACATAGGTCTAACCATATCTCTTCCCTGATTCAATGAAATCCAGAGGATTCTGAATCACATATACAATCCTGTCTTTGGCTCTTAAAGTCCTTCACCATCCAGCCACTTTCCAATCTTTCCACTATTCTTATGCTTTACTTTTCTCTAAGTACTCTATGATTCAGAGACCCAGGGGCTTCTTGCGTTTCCTCAGATACCATCCCCCATGTCCCAACTCCATGCTTTCTCAATCTCTGCTCCCTTTGCCTGGAATGTTCTCTGTCTCTTCACCTCCACCTCCTGTCATTCACATCCTCCAAGATTCAAATTCTACTATTGTGCTAAAATAAATGATGAGCATGCAGATTTCAGAAAAACCTGGAAAGACTTAAGTGAGCTGAACCAGGAGAATGTTGTACAGAGTAACAGCAACTTTGTGTGATGAACAACTTTGATAACCTTGGCTCTTCGCAGCAATACAGTGATGTAAAATAATTCCAAAAGATTCAGGATGGAAAATGCTATCCACATCCAGAGAAAGAACCATGGAGTCTGAATAGAGATCAAAGCATACTATTTTCACTTTTGTTGTTGTTTTTCTTTTTCGTGGTTTTTCCCTTTTGTTCTGATCTTTCATTACATGACTAATTTGGAAATATGTCTAATATGATTGTATATGTATAACCTATATCAGATAGCTTGCTATCTTGCGGGGAGGGGCAGGGAGGAAGGGAAAAAAGAATTCAGAACTCAAAATCTTATAAAAGTGAATGTTGAAAACTAAAAATAAATAAATGGTAAAAAAAAATTTTTTTTCAAGCCTCAAATTCTACTTTCTGGAAGAGCCCTTTGGTGATAACCTTTTGCCGTTTATACCCCATGCCTGGTTAATGTCTTTTTCTGAGATTATTTTCCATTTATGCTCCAGATATCTATGTATATTATGTATAATTTTTGATGTGATGTTTTCTGATTGTATAGGAACTACTTGAGAGCAGGGAAGTATGTTTTTGCCGTTCTTTGTGTCCCTAGATATCAACCCAGTGACTGTCACATGACAAATGATTAATAAATGCTTCTTGACCATATGAATGTAATATCACCTTATATTCACATCCCACTATTTGTTCAGTCAATCTCTGATTGATGGAGATCCATTTTGTTCCCTTACCCCACTCCCCAGAAAATAATGGCTTTATGTCTACAAACTTTTTCTTGTGTGTGAGGTACTTAGAGTATATGTAAGCAGTAGTGTGATCAATGATTCAGATGCTATGATCATTATAATGAACTTTCTTAAGTAATTCCTAATCATTTCTCCAGAATTATTAGATAAATTTGAGCTACTCCAATAATATAGAAAATGTTAGTCTGTCTTCGTACAGCTCCCGCTACATGTCTGCTCTCATATGTTATCATTCTTACCAATTTGATTTGAAGTGAAAACCCAGTTGGTTTGATTTGGCATTCCCTTCCCATTCCTGAGGTAGTGTACTTTTTCACAGGGCTATTGATGGTCTTTAATTCTTATTTGGCTAATCATTCATTTGTATTGTTATTGGGTACTTATCCTCTGAATGAGAGAAGGATAATGTTAAAAACTAAAGTCTTATCAATTTGTATTAATTTTTTGGTATGTCTTGACTAAGAGGTTGGGTAACAAAGAGAATAAATGTGAAGACTTTTCCCACCTAATATTTTTTCCGTTTGTGAGCTGTATTGATTCTGTTCACATAAAAAATTGCTGATGTAATGTAGTTAAAATTTTCTGTATTTTTTTTTCCCTTTGTGATATCCTCTCTCCCTTATTTGGTTGTGAATTTTCCCACAACCATACTACCAAAAGGAACTTTCTTTTATTTTTACATGATGATTGCATATTCCTTTCTTATATTAAGGCTGGATATTTTCCCAGAACTTATTCATGTTAAATCCATGATGTTACTCGAAATCCCCTTAATGCCTACCAACTTTGCAATTTGTCTAAAACAGGAATCCTCCCACGGATTTGTCTACTGATCTTTTTTTAAGGATGGACTTCTGTGTTCTCTTGTTTTTCACGTCTTGGTTATCCAGCCTATTGCCCTCATCAACCTTTTTTTTGTTCATTTCCTTTTTTAACTACAACCAAAGAATTTTGATGAGGACTGCTTTCTGACAGAGTTTGCCATGTAGTAATTAATGGGGCCCCTTTGTATTCCCATTATTTTTCCAAAATTTCTACCCCAAATCCTCAAATCTTATGGCTCTTTCTCATAGTTCCCTGACTCTCTACCACTTTGGACATTGTGTAGTTTCCCTCCTCCCCCACCTTTCAAGACATTGCCTTCTCCTGGTGCTTCTTCTATTGAGATGTGCACTTTTCATTTCCCTATGGTAGATCACCTTCCAGCTCCCACTGAATAAGATTGAATGTCTTTTAGCCATCTGACCTCTGTAGTCTTCCCTCTCTCTACCTTCTTTCCTGCTGATCTCCTCAGCTCCCTTTGGATGAATGAATATCTCTCTGCAGAAGACTCCCAAGTCAAAACATCCAACCAAAAGAGGTCTCTTGAGCTCCAGATTCAAGCAATCAATTACTCAATATGCATCTCATCCTCAACACATCCAAATTCTCTTTGCTTAAAACCTCTCTCTCCACTCAACTTTGCTACTTCAGTTGAAGGCACTACCTTCAGTTCAGTCACCCAGTTCTCTGAGCTCAGAGTCATTCCTGACCCTTCTTTGTCCCTCATTTTATATATCATCATGTCACTTATTTCTCTGTAATATCTCTGGCATTTATCCCTTTCTTTCTCCTCACAGGAACTCTTCTTATCCTGGTTCACAGTCCTGTCACCTCTTGCTTGGACTATTGAAATAGCATTGCTTTTTCTCAAAATTAAAGATTCTTATTGATAGATTTCTTAAGTTGTCACTATATCTCCTAGTATCCCTCCTCCCTCACAGAGATACATACACATTTAATAAGAAATAATATTTTGAAACACTGAAAAAAAAGAAAAAGAATTATTATATAATTATATGTATAATTCATTAGCCAAAACAGTCAATCATTGGGAAAAAGCTTGAAATTATAGGCAAAACTCCAACTCCTTGTACATCACTCACCTGCAAAAGAGTCAGGGAAAGGAGTCTCTTCTTGCATCTCCTCTTTGGGTCATTCTTGCTCTTGAAAGTTTGTTACATTATCTGCATTGAATTGCAGAGCTTAAAGAAAAATTCCTGCTCATGTGTCATTTGTGCTTGTCAATTTGGACTAGCTGGCACTGACTCCTGTGTTCCTTATAATGTTTATCCTCTACAAAGTAGGCAGCCTAAAAACTTTTGCACCAGTGACTCTTTCTTGCTTGGACTGCACTCTTTGGAAGTCGGTTCAAAGTCCATATTGCACTTTCACAGGTTCTGCTTTGGAAGGGGTATTAAGGACAACACTATTATCTCTTCAGAAATCTTTCCTGCACAAAAATTTAAAAAAAAAAACCCATCATCAGAACAAAAGTTTAGAGTAGTCAGCTTACTGATGTCAGCAATTTGGCTTTAATTTTCTTTAGAAATATATTTCATTTCTCTCTTTCAAAAATGTTTCTTTTCTACAGGAAATCAATGATGACAAGGAGAAGAACGAATTGAATGCAAGGGAATACACAAACACTTCTGAAAAGGTAAACATTCCTGAGAAGGAAAACATTATTTATGTTTTAATATCATTACTTATTCTTTTCAAGTAGCTTTAGAATAGGTATTCACTTTTGATTCTAAGGTGTGCTGCCAAAAATCAAGGTCTAGGTAAATTGACTCCCATCAGTTGAGTAAGCATATCTAGCTTTGTCAAGATCCCATAATTGCATGGGAGATATATGGTGCCCAGTGCTTTTCCACCACTAAACTTAAGGACAAAGAATCTCCTTCACTCTTTGGTACTACTATTTTGTTTACCAAGGCTACTTTCCTAGGTCATGAAGTGACCTGACCACATAGAACTGAAAATTTCAGAGGTAGAAATCACTTTAGAAATCATCTATTCCAATTCCCAGGACTAAGGTATCTACTTTTCTAGACATGGATTCCTATTGTGACTCAGTTTATTGCATACCAAAGGCCACATAGCTAGTTTATTTAGTATTCATTTTGAATTCCTCATTGGAGACAACAAAATTGGATGATAATTATCAAAATAATTCATCGTGTAAAGCTTTTTTTTTTAACTCATGTATGGAATTCGTATTGGGAGAAAAAGTATCTCAGATGGGAGAAAGGTAACAGGTGGAGGCCTTGAGGTGGACTTTCAGAGGTATGCCATGTACAAAAATGGATGAATGTAGTTGAATGAATTGGGAGTCCTTATGTTGCAAAAACTAGACCTAATGAAGTCACAAGTGGCAAGATATGAAGAGCATGAAAACTGAAACATTAACAGCCATGAAAGTTTGCACCAGGGAGTTCATGGTATAAATGAAAGTATTAAGGAAGGAGAAAAAGTGGTAACTATATGAGGCTAGGAATGATGATTTTGAGGTTTTGGATATGATATGTTCAGAGAACTCATGTTAGTACTTGGTGATCATGGCTTTCCTTCTTGGTGAGTTCACTAGCCATCCATTTCATGATATTTTTCAGAAATTTATGATGCTTTCAATTTTTAGAACTGAAAATAACATGCCTCCTTTGGAAAGTGGGAACATCTCCTCATAGCCAAGCTTTCTGGTAATTCTCTCAGATTTCTCAAAGAGAACTGACACACCAGAAATTGTTCTGTGACCACCAAGTCCTCTGATTAAAACTGGTCATGCATCCTCTTTGTCTAGGGAAACAAAATAACGATTCTGGGCCTGCCACAGACTGTCCCCAAAAGGTACTTACCATGATGCTACTCTGCGTACCAAACGCTGCCATCACTCTCTCTTACTCACTTTTTCCAAAGATCCCCTGTCACTGTCTCACTGTCACATCTACACATACAGCTCTCCCCCCTGGAATTCCAGAACTCTCCTTTCTCCTTCTGCAAATCTGGTCCTTCATTCAAGGGTAATTTCAGTGTCTCCAGGAAGACTCCCTGCTATATCCTCCTAGCTAGAAGCCATGTAGTCATGTGCATTCCTATTTGTAAATGTACACAATTCTAAGAGAATTATAATGTTTTCTTTAAATTGTTTGTGTTCATCTCTTCATGATTGGGTTATATATTCCTGAAAGGCAGAGTTACCATGTCTTTGAAGTTTTCTCAAGCTCATAGGAGCTACAGAGACAACTTGCATGTAAATAAATCTTGACTGACTGAATTGTAATATGGTGGTCATTGAGGAGCAGAGTACAGAGATGAGTGGTAAATTGCAGACTCAAGATTCTAAGTTCTAAAAGGGAGTAGAAAAAGATAAATTGGAATAATTGGAAAAGGAAGGAACAAACTGGTTTCTTTTTTTTTTAAATTTTAGGTACCAGAAGTGGAACAAAAAATAAGAGAAAAGGAAAAAACCAAAGAAATATCAGGATTCCTGCTGAACAAAAACCTAGAAGATCCACCCATAATAATTTTAGAAACAGAAGACTCCAATAAATCTGGTAAGACTGGATGATCATGGACTCAGGTGATATGGAGATTCAGGAATACTTGGGTTCCTCAAGAGCAGCTTAAGGGTATAAAACAGAGATATCAGAGACATTAGAACTGATGACAGAGTAAATTTAGAATGAACATTTATGTGGATTATGTCTAGCAATGGGTAAATATACATTCACCAACAATTTTAATGACCAGTTGTTGAAAATAGTATAACTGATATGAAATTTATTGAAGGAAATCCTTTTTTTTTTAGTTACTCCCTTCAGATCCTACAGTGATTTTCAAACTAACAAATAAATAAAGGTCTTCTTTAAGGAAGCTTTTTTGTTATTAATCTCTTATAAGTACATTTTATTAATTTTTTACCTTAGAGAAATGGTTCTTTCTTTTCTTCTCCTTTCACTTTTCCTTTCTTTTCCTCCTTTCTTCCTTCATGTTCCTCTTCCTATTTCTCTTTCTTATCTTCATCTATCTTTTTTTTCTTTTTTATCTGCTGAGAGAAAGCAGGAGAAATGAATAGGTCCCTAGAAGAGTCAAATATTAAGCTCAAAGATAAAATTTAGTCAAGGATTTAATAAGATATTAAGACTATGGAACTGTACTTTCACCCATATAAGACCATCAGAACATAGGGAATCATTTGAAAGGAGTTAGGTAGTTGGAGCCAAAACATGCTTTTTTTAATTACGTAAATTTTTATGTATATGTATATATATGTGTGTGTATACATATATACATATATGTGTGTGTGTATATCCATCTATCTATCTATCTATCTATCTATATGTGTGTGTATATATATGCTCCCTGATGTTTTCTCCTCTTTCCATGATAACATGAGACTCATTGCTTATCACACTTTTGTGTATATACATATACATATATATATATATATATATATATATATATATATATATACACACACACACATATACACATACATACATATATATGCATATGGTCCATGATGCTTTCTCCTCTTTCCATGATAACATGAGACTCTTTGCTTATCACACTTTTCTATAGTTTTCCTGTCCTTGGCTACATCAAATCTCCGCATTGGAGAGATCTTCAAAGCATCCTATGATCACCTCCTGACAAATACAAAAATCTCTTTCCCATTGCCTCTAGGAGAGTGTTCTTTAGTGGACAGTCCTATTGAGGACCCCATTGCCTCATAAAATCACCCATTCTATTACTGAAAGACTCTAAATTTTAGGCCAATTTCTGTTCAAAATGAGAAAAACAGAACAATATGTTCTCCATACCACTTACTCATCTCTCCTAGTTTCATCCTCTGGAGAGATACATAAAAAGCACCTTCTCTCTAGTCCACCAAGATACTTTCCAGATATTTGCAAACAACTGGTTTCCCATCTTCCACTTTCTTTCATCATATTCATGATCTTCTCCATCCTGGCCTCGCACCTTTAATCACTTTCATTCCAGCTTGTTGCGATGTTCTTGCCTCACAGTTCTGTTATTCAGTGTGTTAGTGGTCTCTGTTTTAGGTCACTAACTCTGAGGTGCATTCTTTCTGTCTGCATTCAAAATATTAATAAAAATGTGGAAGAGGTCTTGTCCAAGGACAGAGTCAGGGAGTTTCAAACCAACTATAAGGAACAACTTGTAAAATGACTCTAAAATTTCTAAATTTCTTGCAGATAGGATTTTCAGTAAACATGATTCAATTTGCAAAGCCCAAACAAAAATAACCTGAGTTATTCAGGCTACAGGCTTCTATATATAAACTGGTATGTGGTTTTTAACAGAGTAAAACAGTTTCTACAGGACAGAACAATGCTGGGCACCTAAGAAAATGAAATGTAGTAAGTTTCAATGATAATGATATATACTGATTTTTTTTTAATCCAACAACAGAAATCTAGAATTCTCCCAATTTTCCATCATTTGGAGAATTCATTTTTTATTTTACCCCAATTTTCAAAGTATGATTTTTGTTTGTGTAAGTTTGTCCTCATCAGTTAAGAGAAAACTAACAAGTTTAGACTTGGGTTTCTCCTTAAATTAGCATTTGTCAATTGTTTTAATATCCTCTCTGCTCTTTGAAAAGGTAAGTGATGAGTAGCGTAATTAAGGTTGGACTCCTAGGGCAGCTAGATGTCGCAGTGGATAGAGCTCCAGCCTTGGAGTCAGGAGGACCTGAGTTTAAATCTGGACTCAAACACATGATACTCACTAGCTGTGTGACTCTGGGCAAGTCACGTAACTCCAATTGCCTCGCCAAAAAAAAAAAAAGTTGGGACTCCTAAAGGATGTAGTTTTCATAAAATGTATATGTGTAAATACATTTTTCAAAGAAAGAAACCCATGGAAATGTTTGCACATTTGTCATTCATTTCTATGGGATGAGCTTTGTGGATACTATAAATGTGCCAAGCTCAAAGATGTTTCTAACATTGTTAAAAAATGTGTTTATGAATTGTGGGACTAAGGTTGTTTTTTTTTTTAACATTATTCATCTTGATGATTTGTAATTTCTTAATTATTAGGCATGGCTGTAAGCAGCTGAGGTGTGGTGGGATAGAGAGAAGACAGATCTCCACTTCCAGTAAATAAATATAGACCACACATACATGTATGTATGCAGGGTGTGTGTGTGTGTGTGTGTGTGTGTGTGTAGTGGAAATACAAATCTGTCTTCTCTTTGTCCCACCACATCCCAGCTACTTACAGGAGCTCCTTGCAACTATATTTACATCCAAGACAAATCTCCATTTCTATTAAATAAATATACACACATATATGTGTGTGTGTGTGTGTATAAATATATATATACACATATATACATACCCATAAAATACACACACATACATTTATATGTGTGTTTATTTAATGGAAATGGAAATCTGTCAACACCACATCCTTCCTTAATTCTGTTCATACAGAAAGAAAAACCAAATCCCTGTTACAAACGTGTATTGTCAATCTAAACAAATTCCTCCTTACACCATGACCAAAGAAAATTATGACTCAATCTATATCAATCTCAGTCTATATCGATTGACTCTTCTTATCCTGAAGCATGTTCCATCATGAGACCTCTAGAATTATGGCTGATCACTGTGTTGATCAAAGTTGCTAAGTCACTCAAAAGTTTGGGGCTTCATTCCAAATTACTTCCCACAGTGGCACACCAGTTCTAGCCTAACAACTGTGCTTTAAGATAGATGTTTTTCCAGACGTCCTCCAGTATTTCGCAGTTATTTCTTGTCAGCTGTGCCAGTCTGGTGGATATGACATGGAACTTTAGAGTTTTTTTATTTATGTTTCTCTGATTATGTATTTAGACCATTTTTGCATATTACTTTTCATGTGTACTTTTTTATCTATGTCCTGACTCTCCTGAGTTTGCACTTAAGAATTTCTTTGTACCCCTGGTCTTTTCATTGGGTGTGATGAGAAGTCCTCTATTTCATTAAAGATCCCTGCTTTCCCTTTTCGGGACTCAGTTATACTCAGTTTTGCTGAATAAGTTATTCTTCACTATAAGCCTACTACTTTACCTTCTATACTAGAGCGTTCTAAGCACTTTACTCTTTTATAGAGCAAGCTGCTAAATCACATGTGAGCCTGATTGCTGCATTTTCTTATTTGAATTTTCCCTTTGAGGCTATGTGCAGCCTCATTTGTTTTTAACCTATGGGCTCTGAATATTGGCTAAAATGTTCCTAGGAATTTCCATGTTTTTGCTGACTTTCAAGGTGTTGACAAGTGAATTCTTTCTATTTTCACTTCAGGTTCTGAGAGATCTAAGCAATTGTTTAATTGCTTGAAATGTCAAGGTTCTTTTTCTTCTTGTTGTTCATGGTTTTCTGGTAGTCCAGTGATTCTTAAATAATCTCTCTACAACCTGTTTTTCAGATCAGGGCTTTTTACTCTATGGAGATACATCCTGTTTTCTTCTGTATCTTTGAACTTTGCTGTTTAATTGTCTCATGGACCCAGGTACTTCACTTTAGGCCATTCTAGTTTTCATGACATTGGTTTCTTGCAGAGCATTGTATACCTTTTGATCCAAGCTTTTTCATTCTTTTTCTCAATCTTTCTTTCATAGCTCTCCTCTTTTCTCATTTTTTCCTCCAACACATTGACAATTTTTAAAGTGATTCTCTGTTTTCAAAAAGAAAAAAAAACTCTAGTGTCATTTATTCCAGAAATCTATTTGACATGGTGCCCAAGTTATATTTTTCTTTGAATCTTTATAGATATTTTGCAGTCCTTTTTTTTTTTCTGAGTTCCTGTCACTATAATATACCTTTAGAGTGGCATTCATCCAGACTTACACTCTTCTATTCTGATTTCAAATAATATATTGGAGCCATACTGTGTGCACTTTTGGGTGCAATGTCTGGCCCAAACTTTTGGCCTCTTGAATCTTTTTTTTCTATTTTCTTGGGGTATTGAGTTTTGTGATATTCATGGATCTTAGGAAGAGCTCAGGCTGGAAAGCTGTAAACTTTCAGGACTCATACCTCCCTGACTCAGGACAAGGTATGAACATTGACCTTCTAGTCTGCCTTCTACAAGTTCCTGACCTGAGTTTGGGTGTGTGCCACATGCCTGCATGCTTGTTCCTCTTTAGTGTTCCAGTAGACTATTGCTGGACTTGCCACTCAGAACACTCCCTATGTGTTCTAACCCCTTGGTCTAGTTATTCTATTACCAACCTCAGATTGTATTGTAGGCAGAAACTGAGACACCATTAAACTCCTAGGGTCAGAGCCCAAAAGCTACTGCTTGCTTCTGAACTTCCTGCTTGGTCAATATGTAGCCAAGGGTCTGCACACAAAAAACACCTAGGAATGCCACACATGGCATCGGATGACATCAGTCACCCGTGCCTCTGTGACCTAGAACTCAAGAATCAGTGAGGGAGCTCCCAGCTAGAGTTTCCACATTCTGCAAAATGGCAGGGGCCCACATGTATAGATCTGGGCTCTATTATTGACCCAGATTCCTTTGACCCTGAATGCATTCAATATGGTATGCTCCCCTGGCTATACCCCACACTGAATATCAGCAGGTATCTCTGTCTCCCTGTACTAACTTGGTCTTGGATTTTCTGACCAAGAGTAAGTCTGTGGTGCTTTCTGCAGCTTTCTAAGGAGTTAGGTTAGAAGCTTTTCTGTATTTCTCCCAGCTATTCCACCATCTTGGTTCTACCCTAGCAGCTCTCCTCTTAAGATATACCTGTTCTATTTTCGGACTCAATCTTTCCAGGCATAGCTCTAGAGAAGAATATTTTTAATTTGAATGATATTAAGCCAACTTCATTTAAGACACATAATTGTTAGTATATCAAATGAAGAAAGAGATGTAGAATACCCATTCTAGCTATTTGACAGACAACTTTCCCAACTCTAAAATGAAGTTTCTATCCTGTGTGATCCTGTTTACCTGCATCCTTGCTTTTTATCAGGAAGCCTAAGACTTTGCAAGTTAATATAGGCTTGTTAGCCTAAGCCTAGAAGAAAGCATGCATGTGGATAAGGAATTATCTAAATGTCAGTCATTATTCCCTTTGTTTGGCCTTGATTCATGCTACTTATGGAAAGTACCACAAACAGAACCTTATTAAGTTAGGTGGGCTTGGGCTGATAGAATTACTTTTATAGACTAATCAGTGTTTAGTTTTCCTCGATCCTCTATTATTGGGAAGAGTAGGGGGCAAATATTTCTTTTTTTTTTTTTTACTTTATTTCTTTTTAGTTTTCAACAATCGCTTCCATAAGGTTTTGAGTTTTAATTTTTCTCCCTCTCCCACTCCTTCCCGCTGCCCCCAAGATGGCGTACAATATGATATAGGCTCTACATGTACATTCATGTTAAGCATGATGTAAAGAACAATTAGAACTAATGGGAGCAACCACAAGAATGAAGCAATAAAACAAAACAAAAGAAAAGGAATGCAAATAGTATGCTTCCATTTGCATTCAGACTCCATATTTCTTTCTCTGGGTGTGGATAGCAGTTTCCATCATGAATCTTTTGGAGTTGCCTTAGATTCTTACAGGGCTGTGAAGAGCCAAGTCTATCAAAGTTAGTCATCCCATAATATGACTGTTACTGTGTAAGATGTTCTCCCGGTTCTGCTCATTTCACTCTGCATCAGTTCACGTCTTTCCAAGTTTTTTTGAAGTCTACCTACTCATCATTTCTTATAGCACAGTGGTATTCCGTTATATTCATATACCACAACTTGTTCAGCCATTCCCCAACTGATGGGCAGCCCCACAATTTCCAATTCTTTGCTACCACAGAAAGAACTGCTATAAACATTTTTGTACATGTGGGTCCTTTTCCTGTTTTTATGATCTCTTTGGGATACAGACCTAGAAATGGGATTGCTGGGTCAAAGAGTATGCACAATTTTATAGCACTTTGGGCATAGTTCCAAATTGCTCTCCAAAATGGTTGGATCAGTTCACAACTCCACCAACAATACATTAGTGTTCCAATTTTCCCACATCTTCTCTAACATTATCATGTTCCTGTTTTGTCATATCAGCCAATCTGATAGGTGTGATGTGGTAGGTACCTCAGAGTTGTTTTGATTTATATTTGGCTCATCAATAGTGACTTAGGACATTTTTTCATATGGCTATAGATAGCTTTAGTTTCTTGCTCTGAGAATTGCCTGTTCATATCCTTTGACCATTTATCAACTGGGAAATGACTTATATTCATATCAACTTGACTTAGTTCTCTATACATTTTAGAAATGAGTCCTTTATCATAGACATTTGTTGTAAAAATTCTTTTCCAGTTTTCTGCTTCCGTCCTAATCTTGGATGCATTGGCTTTATTTGTGCAAAAACTTTTCAATTTAATGTTATCAAAATTGTCCATTTTGCATTTCATAATGTTCTGTACCTCTTGTTTGGTTATAAATTCTTCCCTTTTCCATAGATCTGAAAGGTAAACTGTTCCTTGCTCTTCTAGTTTGTTTATAGTCTCAGTCTTTACATCTAAATCGTGTATGCATTTTGATTTTATCTTGGTGTGGCAAATATTTCCTTGAAAGAGATCAGAGGGCTAGTACTAGAAGGAACTTGGGAGGACATCTTGCTCAAACCTGCTGTCATTTTGGAAGTGAAAGGAATAATATGCAGAAAGATTTATTATACAGCCACATGGAGTGGAGACTCCAGGGCTCCTGGGGCTCCTAATTCAGTGCTCTTGATACTACACCATACATGCTACTACTATAAACATGAGTTTCTACTATTGACAACTCAAGGATAGGTTGCTGTTATCCTTTGCTAATAAATGGGGTAATTTTCAGAGTCTTATTCACTGAATTCTTCGTATTTCTAGACAATAGGAGTGAGAACATTGAAACTTTGGAAGCATCACCAGAGACAAGGTCTGCATCATGGATTCCCAGGTGTTTTCGGTGAGACCTGTTTTGTAGACTGATAACAACAACAACAAAAAGAACTGAAGAAACTGGTTTGTCCCTGCTTAGTTTTAACTGTTAGCTACCATCTTTTCTTCTCTCTTTTTCTTAGAGCCCTTTTATCCATGTCCAAAGATTCTGTTGTACTCCAATTATCCTCAGCTAGGTCACGGAGTAGTAGAAAGAGTTCTGCATATGGGCAGAGGACCTGGGTTCAAATCCTTGCTTTCCCACTTTTACCAGTTTGCCCATAGTCAAGAGGATTTGATCCTCTCCTGAACTCAATTTCTACATCTCATATATCAGGGAATAGGTCTAGAATAACATTCAACATCTCAAACTATGGTCTTACTATATGACTTACTGGCAAGTCATAGAATAAAGGCAAGTAGACACACTCCTGGGATGGTGTTTGGACTGAATCGTCAAAAAAGGATTGGGACATTTTAGAGTGCTATCCAGCTGCAGGATTAATATCTAAGAATTCACTCTAGGGGAGAAGGAATCTTCTGATGTCCAAAAAGTAAGAACTCCTTCAAATTACTCACAAATACGTGCATGTACATACACAGACACACACACACAGACACACACACACACACACACACACATTTTTAATGTACAGGCTTCCCTATCTTGTGGGACATACAGGACTTACAGCACATAAAGTTATTTGGTTCAATGATATATTCTCACTATATTTCTACCCTGTATACTTAATTGTTTATTAAAGTGGGTGCTCTTTCTTCAACGTGGATTTCAGAACCCTCAGGAAAAAATTCAAAAAGGGACCAAAAGAGAGAAAAGATCAACAGAAGGTAAGCTTTTATCTTGGTGACTGTCTTGTAGCCTTGAGTATGTCTGTTTTCCCATTCTAATCACCATATGTTGAGTCTTTTTGTAACTTGGATTGGGAGGAAGTAAAATAGGCATACAAGGCTATCTGGTGGGTTGGTGGTTTGACTTATGTGTCCTAATTACCAGTGAGTGAGAGCAAGACAGCAGTGAAACAATTCAATTACTTAAAGAGTGAAGAGGAGAATACTAGAGGGACAACAAATTAACCAAATTTGAATTCCCATCCCTGGCTCATAAAGATCCTCAGGACCCTTTCTTGGTAAAAATAAAGTAAGAGACTGTGAGAGAGAGAGAGAGAGAGAGAGAGAGAGAGAGAGAGAGACAGAGAGCGAGAGAGAGAGAGAGACCTTTGGCAGCTTTTGGATTGTGTAACTTTTCTTACTCTTTTTCTTTTTTTATTTATTTTGATTTATCAACAATCACTTCCATAAGCTTTTGAGTTTTAAATTTTTCTCCCTCTCCCTTCCCTTCCTTCCCAAGACAACTCATAATCTGATGTAGACTATACATATACATTCCTATTAAACCTATTTTCACATTAGTGATGTTAAAAGGAAGAATTAGAACCAATAGGAGGAACCATCAGAAAGAAGAAATAAAACAAAACAGAAGAAAAAAATGGCAAATAGTATGCTTTGATCTGCATTCAAATTTCATAGTTCTTTCTTTGGATGTGGAGAGCATTTTCCATCATGAAATCTTTGGAGATGTCTTAGATCCTTGGATTGCTGATAAGGGCTAAGTCTATCAACGTTAGTCATTGTACAACGTGGCTGTTACCGCGTACAACATTCTCCTGGTTCTGCTCACTTCACTCAGCATCAGTCCATACAATTCTTTCCAGGTGTTTCTGAAGCCCACTGTTCATCATTTCTTATAGCACAATAGTGTTCCATTACATTCATATACCACAACTTGTTCAGTCATTCCCCAATTGATGGGCATTCCCTCAATTTCCAATTCTTTGCCACCACTCTTTTTCAGTGTTCCAAGATTGAGGCAACAGCCCAGTGATTCAACTCTGCCCTTTGAAAAGCCATTACATCCAGTCAGTAGGCTAGCTAGATTTCAGTTCCCCAAGAGAAGGGCAGAACATTGCCTGCTTTATCAAGAGGGACGTTGAAATGCTACCATGATTCTTCCATGATAGCAGAAGTTAGTGTTCCTTGTACAAGAGACAGAAAGAAGCAGTTTTTTTGGTAAGAAATAATAGGAAGTGAAGACTGTAAGAAGTATAATGAGAATGCCTCTGTTTTTCAAGTATTTCCAAATTCCCCTTTGGCAGCCCATACACACATGTGTGTTTGTGTGTGTGTGTGTATAGAAATGTCTCTAGACTTGTCCTGGAGAAAAATGAAAAAGTACTGTGAAATGTGGGGCTGGAAGCAAAACTATGGTCTATCAGAAATATGGCTTAAAAACTTCATGGTCTATTCTGGCCCTGATGTTCTAGAATTTCCAGATTGTATAACATTCTAGGATTATATTCTCACCTTCTTGTATTGGCAGGATCAAGGAAATTTTCCATCAACTCAAGGGGAAATATCGCGCCGTACCATGGAAAGAGTAAGTTTGACAACTGAAATGGCAAAACAGAAGTATATTCTTGGAAGCTTCTAGGCTGAAAAAAAAATTGAGTGAATAAATATGAAGGAATTCATAAAAAAAAATTAAGGTCCTTAATATGTTCTCATAAGGATCACATCCAGCTATATTATAAGGTTCTAAGACTTTATACCATGATGAGCATCTAAGTACACAGTTTCCCTCCCTTGACTTGGCAGTTTCCAGAAACGTACCATCACAGGAACCCAACCATCTCAGACTGGACAGAGGAGGACGTGAGTAATTGGCTCTGCTTCACTGGGATGGATTATTATTCCAGTCGTGTACACTTCGATGGCTGGCTCCTGCTTACACATACAAAGAGAGTCCTAAAGGTAAGCTTCTATAAGGTCTTTCTAGTTCATACCATCTAAGTAAAAGAGGCTTCTAACAATTTCTGTTACAAGACTGGTAAATGGAAAATAAAAAAGATAACCCCAGTATAGCAATGCCCAACTTCCCAGAGCCTCTTAATCTCCTCCCTTCCTAAACCCCTCCAAAGTCAGTAGGACTTTTCCAACAATTAATCATGGAAAATCCCATAATTCCATTTCTTTTGAAGTCATCAAAATTTAAGGAGTTTTTCTGTGATCTTTAAAATGAGCTATCAATGCCTAATCCTAATTTTTACCTCATGATGAGAATTGTTGGTTCATGATGCTATTGTTTTTACCACACCATAACAAGGCAGGAAAAAAAAAAAGACCAGCACTCGGAGCTTCAGTGTGACTGAAACCAGCAATTTTCAGAACTTGAGTGTAGATATTCTGACTGAATGCTTTCAGAACTGTTCTTTCTTAGGCTAGATAGCCTCTAAAGTCCTAGGCAGTCCTCAATCTCCGACATATGTTGATCTCACCAATTAAAGTCAAATGTTACTATTTTCAGATTAAAAATTGAAATGGCTTTTAGATTTTTTCAAAGCAATTAGCATTGGGTTCCTGCCTTTAGAAAACATAATTGATGAATGAGAAATTATATTTACAAGTTTAAGTGACTATATAAGGAGCCCTCACCATCTTTTTGTAATTTGGAGAATTCTTCATTTAGCTATTTAGAGAACTGTAAAAATAGAAAACTTCATCTATCTTCCCTTTGCACACCTATACATAGCTAGTCCTTTACCTGCCCTGTTGCTGACAAATGGAGCCCAGTGAAATTGGTGGGTGGGAAATGATCAAGAGAGGAGTTCTTATCCCTGTAAAGACCAGTTGGAGGGACACTCTGAGGATATTGTTATTCTTCTTTCAAATTGGGCACATTTGGGGCGGGTATCAACTAAACTGAAAATATTGGCTAGAAGGACAATATGGCCCTGCTTCCTTTTCCTATGATTTCCAAAGCTGCCGTAGTTTGGTTCCTGAGATGGATTTTGTCAAAATGGAAAGGCTGTACTTAAGGAATTCCAGAGAAAATGTCATTCCTCCTTGCTACTGAAACTGCCCTCCAAAAAGAGTTGCTTATTTGGGAAATTTTCTTTTGAGCCATTTATTCAGCATGTGACTGAACATACAGAAAGGACAAGCTGGTTGTTACATGGGGCTTCATGACTAAGTCTTATGACTTTGCCTTTGTATATGGCAGGTAAACTCTTTCTACCTATTATCATTTAACTCTTAGGAAAGCCAGGAGCACGTCCCAATTCTTTCCTCTCCACCTTGAATTTTAATAGCACTTATTTAACTCAAAAGGTAAGTAGGTCTTTTCAAACAGCTGACTTCCTTCTTATTAATGGTTAATTGCAGAAACCAATTCTTTTGAAGAGAAGGAATTAGTGCTTTCCTTAATCATTTTAATCCTGTTGCTTTCTAAACATGAGATTCTTCCCATGCCATAAATGAGCAAGTCTATCTCCATGTACACAGTCTCTTCTCTTGGTAATTAATCTTTCCAATAAACTATCATTATTGCTGCATATCGTTTTTTCTCAATAGTTCCCAGATCGGTTCCTATCTAGAATATTTTTTCCTGATGGAAAAGCTGACGTCATCCAAATATGATGCTAAGGAAGTTTCATTTTTATATTTGATGTGTGAAATTGGAGAGACTACATCTGACTCAAATTGAAAATAGCTCCATTTTCTTTCCAGAGCTTTGACAACCAAAATCGAAAGGAAAAAAAGATTCTCCTTAAGAAGATAAAAAAACTCCAACGGCTCGAGGCAGAACTGGAAAGAAGAAATGCAAAAAGAGTCCTAATGAGGACGGGCATAAGAGAGAAGCCCATCTATTAGAACTATTCTCATTACATCACATGAAGCGGCACAAAGACCTGTTACAGTGGAGGGAAAGAAGAGAGGGAGATGAGCATTGTTTGAACCTTACTGTCATCAAATTTGACTCAAGAAGGGAATAACATAGGTTTAGAAATCTAACTTGTCTAATATGCAGTAGGAGGGGAAAGAAAAGGGAGGGGGGATGGAAGGGACGGAAGAAGTAGTAAAGGAAAAAGGAAAGAAAAGGGAGGGAGCTGATAGAAGGGGGGGCAGATCGAGGGAGGCGGTGGTCAAAAGCAAAACTCTGGTGAAGAGGGAAAGGGAGAAACGAGAAAGAAAAGCATAAAGGGGCAGGGAATGGGATGGAGAGAAAGACACTGATAGTAATCATAACTGTGAATGACATGAACTCTCCCATAAATGGAAGTGGATAGCAGAATACCAAATTAGAAACACTGAAAACCAGAGGAGAGATTAATAAAGTTGAAATTAAGAAAACTATTGAACTAATACAACTAAGAGCTGGTTGTATGAAAAAAAAATACATAAACCTTTGGTTAGTTTAATTTTTACAAAAAGGAGAAAAGCCAATTACCAGAATCAAAAATGAAAAGGGGTGAATTCACCACCAATGAAGAGGAAATTAAAACAATAATTAGGAACACCTCATGGCCCCTTAACAAAAAACAAGGGAATAGAGATGTGCAAAATAAAGAGGGGAAAAGGAACATGAAACACATCTTTCTCATACAATAACAGAAAAAAAGTTGTAATACTGGGAACACAAGCAAACCCACAGACCTAAATGGAGCCTTGATAGCCTTGCTAAATCATGAGTGGTTCAATGACACAAAAAGCATAGGAATATTCAAAAGAAGATGCACTAACCACATCCTTTACACACAATAGTCATGATGTAATTATAACATGTTTAGTAATGAGAGAGTCGAAGAATACATCCCCAAAACAATGAATTCAATCTGGGAAAGAGGGTGAGCCATCTTACCCACATTGTAGGGATGCAGCCACAAGATTCCTCAGAGAAAACCTATCTCAGATAATCTATATTCAGAACAGACCAAAATGATATGACTCAGGAACTGATGACGCAGCTGAAAAAAGTCACCTTCGGGGCCCCAGACTGGAGTAGCGCCTGGCCCGCGCACGCAGCAAGTCAGGCTAGCCGCAGCTGCTCCAGCCCTTGCTGGCTCCCCCGCCTAAGGGGGGACCGCCTCCAGCGGCAGAGGCGAAGGCGGCAGTGCCAGCCCCTCCTGCGCCTTTGCCCCTCGCAGTGTAGGAGGCTGAGGCAGAAGGGATTCCATCTCCCTGCAGTCCTCCAGCACCAGCCTGCTATAAGCCCAGGGCCTCCCAGGGGGCTCGTGCACTGACCCGCACAGGGCATCTTGGTCGCAAGCAGCAAGTGAGCCCAGTAGGCTGAGAACCTGGGGGTTGCTTTTCCGGGGAATGTCGAGCACAGCTCTACGCTGTGGATCTGGGTGGTTTGCCAGGGATTGCCTGGCAAACCGAGGCCTCCTGGGGCTGAGCGTGAGAAACCTTTAGACTAATTTCAGTGGAAGTGTGAAGAAAGACCAGGTGTAAAGTCTAACGGGTAGGGGGAGGGCTTTAAAGCAGATTGCCTGCAGACTTCCTGCTTCTGCCCTTCATTTGCAATAGCCAAAGTTCTAGGCTAAGTGGGGACTACTCACAGCGGATGCCGGCAGAGAATGAGAAGGGCCAGTGAGTGAGATGTCCCCGACCCTGTCAGAGTACTGCAGGTCTTGCTTTCTTTCTAGGCCATGCGTCCTTCCTTGATTATCCTTTCAGAGCATTAGTAGGGGAGCAGGCAGCAAAGGAAAGAGGCCCATTTGATTATGTTGATCTCTGAGACTATTTGTGCTACTTGTACAGCTCACCTGATCCGAAGGGAGTTTGTTTCCTCCTCTCTCCATCCCATCCCTCACTTTTTAGGGAGTAGTTAACATTCTGAAAATGTGACCCTCTGCATCTTAGAACTGTAAGCATTTTACACAACCATGTGGATGGAGCATGGGCCTGGAATCAGGAGCAGCTGAGGTCAAATGTGACCTTACTTAGACATTTACTGACTATGCCTTTCTGGACAAGTCAATTAAACCTGTTTGCCTCAATCTCCTCATCTATGAAATGAGCTAGAGAAGGAATTGGCAAACCACTCCATTATCTTTGCCCAGAAAGCCCCAAATTGGTTCACGGAGAAGTAGGACACAACTGAAACACAACTGAAACTGAACAACAACATACACATATGCGTATAGGTGTACACATACATATATTCCTGTGCACACCTATGTTCTCCATCCCTAAGCTTCAGTCCAAGGTCATCAACTGCCAGTGAAGTATTTCAAACCCAATATCCCGGAGACATCTTAAATTCAACATGTCCAAAATTGAACCCATGGTATTTTCCTTCTTCCAGACTTTTCTATTCCCATTCCCATTCAGACAAGGCATCACCAGTGCCTTACATTCATAATCTCAGCATTATCGCTGACTCCTCACTCTTCCTCACCTCATATACCCTATCACTTGTCAAATCTTGCTGATTTACCTTCACAGTCTCTCAGATTCAACCCCAACACACACATCTTTTCAGTCTTCCTTCTTTTGATTACATTCTGTTTATTCTGTTATTCTGTATATTGCTGTCAACCTGAAATAAAGAGGATTACCAAAGTAGCAATAACAAGGCCCTTTAATCAAGGTAAGGAAATTGCGATTCCAGACATCAGGAAGTCCCCTGGAGGGACGGAAGGGGCAGGGTTTAAAGACACTTCAGCAGGAAGGCAGCCTCATGGAGGGCACTGACTCTTGAAGCTGTTACATAGGGTGTTTTGCAAAATAGCCAAAAGTCCACAGAGCAGGCTGGGGGGTGGGGGGGGTGGGGGACACTCAGGGAGTTATGACATGCAGTCAGAACAGCACACTGTAGGTGCAGCAATGGAGAGTTTCCAGGGAAATCACAAAACCAACTCCAACTAGTTCGAATCCTGCTCCAACCTTGGGATCAGAGTCAGGTGGCTACTCTGATGGCTACTAAGTTGCATATAATTATATGTTGTCTTCCCCATCAGAATGTGAACTCCTTGGAGGCAAGACTATCTTTTGTTTTACTTTGTATCCCCGTGCTTAGCACAGTGCCTGACACATGGTAGGCACTTAATAAATGCCTGCTAACTGACTTTCTCACCTACTTACATACTTACATACTTACTACACCTTACATGCTCCCTACATACAGAAGTATTCTTAGACCCATGGCCAGTTGTGTAGTGTAGCCTTCTTGCCGTTCCCCAAAAAGCTACTGCAACTCTCCACTCCTGAAATTTTCACTGACCGTTCTCCATGGCAGCAGGTCAAGACAAGCACAACTTTCTGCTTTTGCATTCTGAGCTCACTGACCAGTGCTCATTTGATTTAGAGAGAAACAGACAAAGCAAGCAACATGCCAACCATAAACTCTTAAGTTTTCATTTATTTTGGTTATATCAGCATAGAGCAGGCTCAGTGTGGTACTTATGAGCTGAACTCAAATGTTTATATTATCTATGGTTACATAATGATGTGCAAGGGCCGTAAGACTGTTTATGGCCATGATCCTGGGAACCTGTATCAAACTGGATCCATACCTCCTTACAAACACTTCTACATTAAATTGTGAACTCCCTAAGAGCAAGGGTTGTCTTCTGCCTTTCTTGTATAGTAGAGTACCTGGCACATAGTAGGTGCTTAATCAGTGTGTGTTGTCTGACTGATATATCAAGTCCCAGGAATCCTTGAGTGAGTATTGCTTCTCAGCCACCAGCTAGGTAGATAAACGTGAATTCGTTTGCTGCATAATTATCTGCTTCCTTCATTAATATTCACTGGGCATGTACTAATTATAATAGCTGCTATTAAAAATAATAACTGATAAATAAATTATTATTATTAATAAAGAAATGCTTATTAATACATAATTAAGCAAGCATTTATTAGATGTATACAATGTGCTAAGCACTGTGCTAGATGTTGGGGAGATAAAGTCAGAAATGAAAATAGTCCTTAAGGTACTTATTATAAGGGGGGATCCCAGAATAACATGTACACAGATGAATAATCTAAAAATATAAATAAAGTAATGGGGGAGGTGGGTCAGTTTACAATGGAAAGAATCAGCAAAAGCAAAATCTAGGATCTGATTCTTGAGGTGAGCCTTGGATTCAGCTTTTAAGACAATAAAGCTCTTGATATTTATCTTGCATATGTTTTTTAATAATCTTAGTGTTGCTTTTGAAGGCTTCTTCCTGAGTCCTTTTGCTGTTTTGAAAGATGGGTCTCACCCAGGATTCATTTCATATGTTAATAATTAATCACTGTGTTGCAGAGAGGAGCTGCTTTTAAGATACCTGAATCGATATGTATCTTTTGTCCTTTGAAATGATAATCATTAGGCTCCACTTCAACTACCTTGAATGTAATTTAATACTAGCATACCTGCAAGTATTTTCCTCTTCTCCATACAGTCAGCAGAGCATTATGTAAATGTCTCTGAAGAATAAATACTTCATATTATCTGTTATAATCATTTATCTGGAATGTGCCATCTGAAAAGATTTAAGCTTTTACCAAAGATTTAGCTTTGAACCCAATTAGGTAGCTCAAAATCCCACCCAAGAAGAGAATTTTTTGGTAGATCACTTACCCTCTCTGAGCCTCAGTTTCCTTATCTGTAAAATGAGGGGATGGTTGGATTAGAGGGCCCCTGAGATCCCTTCCAGTTCTGGATCTAGGATTCCATGCTCTATGAATCTAGCTTGATTCTCCTGCCCCTTACTTGGTTTATAGGGCTTTTTTAAAAGGCAGAGTGATACAATGGGAAGGATACTGAACTTAGAGTCTGCAGACATTTGTGCTATGTCTCTATAATTAAAGGAGCCTACATTGCAGAGGGGAAGGAAATAGATTTTTTTTTTTGGAATAGATATTTATTTAGCACATATAATATACCTGGCAGCTAGGTGATACAGTGGATAAAGTGCTGGGCCTGGAGTCAGCTGTAAGGCAGGGCAGAACCAGACCATTTTATGGAGGGCAAAATTATCTCTAATGCTTAC